ATCTATTGACATTCATTATATGAATAAGAATCCAGTTTTACCTGCTACAACGCCAGACACAATGGTTGCAAACATGGGTGTCTTGGTTTTCTTGTGCATGCGGGAGAGGGAGCGAAAGAGCAGACCGTCCTCGGCCATGGCATAAATCACACGAGGCATAGGGAACATGGAGCCCAACAAGCTAAAGAACACCCCAAAACACAAAAACACAGTCAGAAAGGCCTTAGTTGTTTCATGGTGACTTTGTGTCAATGTCAGTAATGTAATTAGAGCTTCATAAATGTACCTGGTGGAAAGGGCACACAGAGACCCCACAGCCACAATATAGCGAGCAGGCTGCCAGTGCACATATTCAAAGGCCTCAGGAAGTGGACTCAGAACATCCAGCTTGTAATAGGGTATCATGAGTGTGAGTGCTGCAGACACCCCGAAGTAGGCAAAAAAGCAGATGAGCAGAGAGGCCACTATGCCGATCGGGATGGAACGCATGGGGTTTTTGGCCTCTTCACCTACGACGACAACATCAACCAAGCTGGGGTGAGTAAAGTTTTAGAAGTAGGACATTCTGGTTTTACACGGAAAGTTTGCTGAACTTACTTGTGGTTGCAATGCAGTCAAAGCCCACAAAGGCATAGAAGCATGTGGCAGCGCCAGAAAGGACTCCGGTAAAGCCAAATGGTGCAAAGCCACCTGAGCCGAATTCTTTTTCAATGTTGCTAAGACAAGAAAGAGATTTCAACTTTAAATTTACAGACAGCATACTGCATATACATTTTATATACTTTATTATACACACGATATATACAATGTTTTAAGTATTTCTTTTGTTTACTACCATTTCATTATCTTTAATTTAATTGTCAATTTAATTATATTTATTCATTTGATCTTTCTTGTAATTTAGTTGTATATCTGTATTCAGTAAATATGACCAAACTGATCAAGTTTGAATTATGCTCGAAACTGTACTTTGTAGATTACTACTGCTATGCCAAAAGTTGCTTACTGTGCTTCAGATTTGTTGGTGCCATTAAGGTAGTCCTCAATAGTGAGGTTCCAGTTGGCAGGGTCGCCTTTCACAAAGCCAGATATGATGACAAATGTCAAAACCACCAGGTTGATTCCTGTGAAGATCTTGTTGACAAATGCAGACTCGCTCACTCCAAATGCCAATAATCCTGTAGTGTGGGAGGTGAGAGGCAGCAAATTCACACCATTATGGTCATTTGAGTGGCAAGAGTGAAAAGAAAGAGTGAGCAACAACAGTCCTATGACTAACATATATCGGAGAAGCGGACCATTTAAAACGATTTAATTCCTTCAATGTAGCTTGTGTAGTAGAACCAATGAAGAATCTGTTTTGACTACCCTGTCAGAAACACACTAACAAAAGCCAGGTGTTGGATGGTCAAGAAGTTTAATTTTGGAACAAATATCCACTAGAATAACTGAAGTCTTGACTTTGAAAAACACTTTGATTCAAGCTAAGAATTAACTAGGCACCAACATGTGGGACAAAAAAAGTAGTCAGAAAAAGGTTTCTTACCAGTGAGCAACAAGACCAGGATGAGGGCAAACAGATCTGGATACTCCGCTAACACATTTCCAGTGTCTGGAAATGACATGGAGCCATTGAAGAAAACAGAGATCCTTTTCTGCACTAGATGGTCAAAAGTTGAGCTCCAAGCTCGTGCCACACTAGCTGTGCCTGTGAAAAAGAGAGAAGGACATATGTAGATGCAAAAGACTTCAGACCGTCAACTTGTTATAGCAAGCTTAAGCACCTGCTCTAGAGTCCTTCACTCAAGTGAAGTAAACACTTCATACAATTTCAAAACCACTTTAGCTCATGCGTAGCCACATATAATTGGTCAAACTCTAGGGCTTGCATTCAGAGTAAACTCTAAAGAGATGGCAATTAATTGTTATATTTGAATTCAAAAAGGGAAATAGTAATTTTAGTCACATATTTTAAAACTAGACAATATCTACGTTCTCACCAATCACATATGAGAGAATGAGGTTCCATCCTGTGATAAAGGCCCATATTTCACCAACTGTCACGTAGCTGTACAGGTAAGCGGATCCCGTCTTGGGAACTCGTGCCCCAAATTCAGCATAGCACAAGCCAGCGAGGACAGAGGACAAGGCCGCAATAAGGAAAGATAGAACGATTGCAGGTCCAGCCTTCTCTCGGGCTACTTGCCCAGCCAGGACGTATACACCTGCACCCAATGTCGCCCCCACACCAAGGGCTATGAGGTCCAGAGTAGTGAGACAGCGAGCAAAGCGTGTTTCGTCCTGAGAGGTGTCCAGCATGCGACGCCTTAGCAGCATCTTCCCAAAGGAGGCCATTTTTTTCTCAATCATGATGGATAACGTTGAGAAGACTGGGATAATAAAGCTGAAGGCATAAAGGAGAAGAGAAACAATGTAAATATACAGTATATATATATATATATACGTACATACACTTTTTTTTTAATTGACAGGCATCATCTCTTAAATCTGGCTGTCAATGTTTTTATCGTTCATTAGCTGGGGGAAAAAATTTCTGAAAATGATTCATATTGTTATCATTATAGGTGTGGTGTGGAATTCTCTACTCTAGTAGAATTAGAACGATTATAAAAACTTTATCGTTTTTTTTATTCCTTGGTGTGAACACCTTTTAACCAAGTCATTACATGTAAAGGGCATCAATTTCAGGGTGCCTGCTTCCCACCACACCCGTACACAGACAGAGCACTTTATGAACAACCCATTTCACCACAGGGCAGTTTAATCCATCTGGGGGAGAATCAATAAGATTAATATCTAAGAGGTTTATGTTGCCTTTTCATTATTGAGCCATAATTCATAAAGTACAACAGCTTTAGAGCATTGACATTGGTGTGGACGGAAACAATTTTCAGGCAAGACCAAACTGATTAGTCACAATTTACTGGCTAGATGAAAAGAGCAGACTGGTTGAAATTGGAATAGTATCTTGGCAAAAACAACAACAACAAAAAAACAGAAAACACTAAAAAATTCTAGGGAGGTAACTTACCCTCTGAATGCAGATTGGTGAATAATTAAAAATGCAATTTGAATACAGTGTTTACATATGACAAATATTAGCGACTCCAAAGCATTGCACACTTTCATAAGGAAATAAGAGCACATGCAGGTAAGATCATCTTGTGTGGGTTTCTGACCAGCAGCTTGAGTAGTCATACATGTTTGATCAGGTCCTGTGGGGAACACTAGAAGTAAACCTGCACCTGCTTACATGACTATTTAACAGTTACAAACTTCTAAATCTAATCCTTAAGCATTCTTACCACATTTTATTCTGTGATCAAAGCATATACTCACACATAAAAATAAAACGAGGATGACATTTTTTTTTTTTAGATTAAACTTTTTCAGTCTAGTGCTAAGGAAACCTCTTTTTGCTAACTCCACGATGTCACTACACGGAAATCATTGACTTCCTTCCAGACAGGGTTATTATATAAAACCACTCACACACACACACGCTCATGAAAAAGGTTGTTAAATTGTGATGATTACCAGTAACCTTACATAAAGCACTGCCCTGTCATATACATTCCTCTACCCTAAGAAATTAAACAAATAACTAATTCCAAGTAATAAGTAGGCAACTTAAAACACGTTTGGACTTTGAATTCACAGGTCCACTATCTATAATCTGACTATCCTGGCACCTGCTTCACCCTACTGATGAGTTTGCTGGAATCAGATTAATATATTTTAAGATGATGTCTAACAGAAGCCCAGGTTTTTGAAGCAAAGTGGCAATTTCACTGACACATGCTTAACAATTATTTATTTAAACATTAAAATCATTTTTGTAATAATTAGCATAGTGTACATGCATGAAGTCCAATACTGCACAATTACTGGTGTATGGTTTACTATTCAAATAGAAAAGACTAGCAGCACCTGCATAACACCTATTAGAGTAATGGGATTTCACGACTTAATGAAACTAACTGTTACACTAACCACAGCTCAGCATCCCATTAGCTAATCCTAGTTTGTGACCCACCGGACATAAATTGCACTGATGCATCCAGTTTGGAATGATTTATTCAAACTAATCGAAGAGGTTTTATTTAAACCATGTTTAAATGAAGCAAAACTGTATCTGGAAAAATGAACATCAAGAAACGTGCAATGACTCCATATGATGGAAACTATCATAGTGTTGAAAGGCAGTATAATGATGTAACGTTAACTTAGATGTAATTTGCAAAAATATACATGAACGTAGATTTTTTTAATTATTATACAAATGTTTTGGTGATACGATACCAAATATAGATTTTTTACAGAATGTACGTTAAACCAATAACAATATAGAAGAGTACATTTAACATCGCGCGCATTTCTACACGAGGATGAACGCAATGATAAACATGGGATTTCCGCTTCACAGTTAAAGAGGCTCTCAATACTTGACAGAAAACATAATTCAGATCTTTAACTTAACGAATACTCCCTTACGTCATATATGTGAAGATTAAGAGTGCCATATTATAGGAATAAAGGTTAAAAAGGTAGTTACCCTCGCTTGAGATGATGAACTGAGAACCCGGAGACGATGCGCGGTGTGTAATCTAATCTAGAGACGAATGAGTGGAAATGTGGGTGAGCTGGCAGGACGTATATAAACTAAGGCGGAAATTGAAGCCTTTTAAGGAAAATTTCCCCCCAGACAAGGTCGGGTTTTTTTCTGACGTCAATAACACTGCCAGTCGTAGTAGTTGCCATCGACGACAAGCATCGTTTTTCCAGCATTTTTAAAGTCCTGCTCTGCTTATTGCTCCATTTATTTGTAATACCACAAGATGACATACCTAAGGCATTGTGTTACAGTGGAAAATGTAAAATATAAATCTTCTCCCATGCCTTTAAATCAAACAATAAACCATATTGTAATATTTCTATTTCATTATTAGGGAACGCATAGAGACTCAAGCAACACAATATTTAATTGGGATACATTTTATTAAGTCATTTTCGAAGTACATAAACATGCATAGAACTGCATAGAAATAACTGGTAGAAGCTTCCATAACTGGTAAAAGTTCCAAGTTTCTTTGTCAACACTTCTCTTCTTTTCTCCTCTAAGTGTGGGAGACAGAAAAGACAGAATCAGGCAAAGGTATACAATATTGCTTATTTTAATATCAGCAAAATACAATGATTTAAAAGTATCTGTAAAAAGAACAAAATGCCAGGAATATATTGTGAAGACACAGAATACCTACTACTCTACTTCTTCATTTCCTTTACACACATCTCAAGTTTTTCGTGCAATGGTCCCCAGTTTTTACACTCTATAAAAGACATGTATGCAAAACATTATCTCACAATAAATAAAGACAGTAAAGTTATTGGAGAAAAAAAAAATGAAACTCATGGAAAAAATAATAATACAGACACCTGAACGCAAATCCATTAGTTCTTGGAGGACCCTCTTAAGTTTGTCTTGATGTTGCAAACAATTAACACAGCCTGGAAGGGGGTTAAAAAGATTAGGTAGGTTTGAAAATATTAGACACCATTTCTGAATTAGAAAACAACTTACTACATGAGTTAAGATAATAACCATGACCAAAATTCACCTGATCCATGTGCTCCGTCAGCTGGATGCACAGCATCACTCTTTACTGTAGGAAGAGCAGTGTGTGCTATGGATACAAACACACATGAAATACATTAGAATGGAGATAAAGAACAACAAAAAAAGTGTTAGAATATTTCACAAACATTTACTACACAGTGTTTTTCTATTCAAGACCAATATATTTTTGTCTTAACAGTGTTTGCTCACCATTCACACTTGCTCATCCATATGCAAGTAAACACTACCGTTGAAAGGTTGGGAATGACAAAGACATTTTGTTTTTTTAAAGGACTTAATATTAGCATGTAAGTGATCAATCAAAACATCTAATGCTGCAAATTATTATTTAAAAAAAAAAAAAAAAAAAAGGTTTTATCTTTACCAGAAAGCAAAGCTGTTTTAATAGCCATTACCCTAGTCTACTAAGAAAACACTGTCACCTAATAACCGTCACCCACTGTGCTGATTTGGTGCAAGAGGACACTTTCTTTGTATACAAGCGCAGTTGAAAGTGGCTCTTAATTGGTTCTTAGGAGAAAGCGAACCAGGACAGAGAGAAGTGGACACAGAACATCAAAGTGTCTAGTAGTTTGAGAAACAGACTCCTCTAAAGACCTCATTTTGCAGCTTCATTAACCAGCGAATGAATCCATGTTTGAGTTAGCCAAAATAGCTTGATCCTAACATCAATAAGAAGTGTCTAGTGTGATCCTTTAATGAACAGTTTGCAAAACACCAAACTTATTTAAAACAGAAATAGTCATTTGCTACATTTTATAAAAATTTATAATATATACATTTAATATATACAATAATATATATATGGGCCTATATATATTCTATTTTACATTCATAATTAATGCAATGCATTGCATTATGGTGGCATAGATGCCAATGTACCATCCAATAATTGAGTTTGAACGGACCTATAAATTTCCATTTCAAAAAGAATGAAAACACTCAAAGGGGAGGCATGCACACACTACTCATTCACATGCATGAATAAAAAGTTTAACAACCAGCTCCCAAATGCACCAATCTATTCAGTAAGGCTAGGCTATTACTGAAAATTACTGTATATCAATCTGTCTGCAATGCATTACATCTAGTCAAGCAGGGAAAATATCTTGCAAATAAGAAATGTAAATAAGACCACTTATTTAATGACTCAATTTTCTTGCCTAGATTCCAGGCGGCTTCAGGAAAGATTATTTTGCAGTGATACATCAGGAGCTGTCCTGTTGAGATTTGTCAGTGTGGCTTAAAGCAAAGGGTGGATATTTTCCACATTTTAGACATCGTAATGTTCTTGAATATTGCTTTGATACACCCAATGCTTTTTTGTTCATAATGGACCAGATTTACTAAAAGGGGCAAATTAGAGTGAGCGCAATCCCATAAAACCGCCGACGGGAATGAAAACTTCTACATGTGATCTATTGAAGACGTGCAAATTAAAGAACACTGGGTAATTTCCATAATGACCAATACAATCTATCAAGAGCCGCACAATTTAGCGTTTGTTTTAAGACATGCTTTTTTTGGGTGTAACAGGTTTACGCTAGACAATTTACCCAAGTAAATCACCTTGTGTGAATCATATAAATACTGTCCTCCCACAGACTTTGCATCTGAAAGGGAAACTCCTACAAATGCATATAAGAAACAAGGTCAGCCGCAAAAATAATCCTGTCCATGCCTTTTCACAGCCGAAAAATTCTTAACAGCAAGAGGTTTTGCACTGGTGTAAGCCATTAGTAAATCTGTCCCATTATCTTAATGTCTTTTAATTTTTAAAAATCACAAAATATTGTCAGTAGCTAAAATGTTTCCATCCAAAGTTGTTATGTTTTAAAAATGTAATCCAGTGATCCCGTCACATCCACTGCTGATGCTAAGTCACAAGTTTTTTTTTGTTGCATACGAAGGGATTTATTCACTAAATCAATACATTTCGATCATAGTTCATGTGCATGTCTTAATATCAAATAAGAAAGGTATCCGCCTTAATTGAGCACGTTTTTATGTGCAAGTTAATAATTTATGCGCATCCTGGTGTTTCCATCTAATGTTTTTTATGCAATGTTTCAAATGCGCATTAAAAAGGTGGATGGAAACATAGCTAGCTCCAATAATACTAGTTAAGTGGGAATAATAAAAACTTTGACTGGTATCGTACAAAGCCATATCAACAATTGACCACAGTCTTCGCCAACCACCACAAGTGAAAATACATCTGAGACTCATAATTACATTAAATTAATACTTGAGTTGGTTTTCCTTGTGAAAAAATAAGGACAAATGATCGCACCAATTCTTTTTCTCTTTGCCGAAGGCAAACCATCATTGTTCAAGTGCGTTTGGCCCACACTGGGAAGCAGTGAATTCCTCGTCCTCATACCTTTCATAGATAGAATTAGAGGAAACATGATTGGAATGACAAAGCATGATATAAAACCAGAGTCCTTCATTTACATAATGATTTAGTCTAGGTATTTACCATGTTGCATAAAAGTATAAAATCAGCAATCATGAATAGTACCTGTTGTTGTTGGTTTGTTACTACTGGGCTGAGTCAGAATGCTTTCAACAGAGGATTGTGTAGTCTGAGGTGTTTTAAGAGCCAGTCTTTTACGGGTTGGGGGCTGTAGTCCTGATGGTTTGTTTTGCTGTATACCAGAGCTTGAAGGCTTTGCAACTGCAACCACATTACAGCTTACAGAAAGCACAATTATCATATAATACAACATAGTAATACAAAAGTAGTCATGTACACTATATTTCAATTTGTTTAATGTTTTTGAAAAGTCACAGTGAGCTTACAGAGGCTGCATTTATTTGGCCAAATATAAAGTAAAATAGAAAAGTGAAATTATATTTTTTCTTAATATTACTGTTTTTAACATATTTTAAAATGTAATTTATCCCTGTGATGCAGTGTCACATGATCTTCCAGAATTCAGTATAATATGCTCAAGATTGGTGCTAAGCTGAGAACTCATCAATGTTTATCAAACAGTTGAGCTGCTTTTGATGGGAACTCAATATATTAAGGATTCTTTGAAGAAAAGTTCAAAAAGAAAGAAAATTATAAATTATATCTTTTGTAACATTATAAATCTATTTAATGTAACTCACTTAATTAATTAAATGCAACCATGCAGAATAAAAGGAGGTCTATTTTAAATAAAAACAAAAACCTTGACTAGTAATATAATTGTGCATGTATAAAATGTGTAAAGAAAATAAAAAATAAAATGAAAGTGTATAAGCCACTCACCAGCCGTGAAGTTATATCCAGTGGCAGAAGAAACCATAGAGGCCTGTTTAGCAAAAAATAAATCATATTCTAACCCAGTTAAACCCAACAGGTCCAACATTTTTATGCATCCAAGTAAAGTGACTGATTCATAGCGACATAAAGCAGTTTCCTACCTTAACAGTGCTAGCTGACACTGCGTTTTTGACAGGTGCGATGTTCTTCCCCTTGTTCATCTGTACTGACTTCCTGTTGCCAAGTAGGGTGGTGGATGTGTCGCGATATTGCGGAACCTGTGGCCCTTGGACAGTCTTTGGTTTGTCCGCTGCTGCCGAGGAGTGCATGGACGACTGCGGCCTTGGGGGAAGACTGGATTTGGGATAACTAAGCTTAGAGGAAAGTTGAGGAATCTGTCTTTTAATTGGACGTTTTGTGGAAGGCTTGTTCTCATTTGCTGGTTCTGATGTATTGTGATTAGAAATGCAGTTTGATGAGATCTTCTGACTTGAGCTCTCAGTCGCCTGCACAGCACCAGTTCCATTGTGATTACTCACAACAAGCTCATCATTCGATTGGGCCTCCATACTGTTGATCACAGACAATCTTTTTCTTAAAGGTGTGGGCTTCACATCTCTCAGTATCTCAAATCTGGGTTCTCTGCCAAAAACAATAGGTGTGGATGTAACCATGAAGCTTGTTTTCATGTCCAAAGTATCATCCAAACAAAAAACACTGTTTCTGCTGATGTTTCCCATATCAGAGGAGGGAACGGATTCACTTTCAGCTAATCCAGGTCTTTCTACTTTCTTGTGGTGCTCGTCTGCTTTGAGCTCAGGAGCATCAACAGAGCAAACAAAAGTTAAGGTCCTTATCTCAACGTTTGTTTCGCTGCTGTTAGAGACTGGTTTAGTGATTTCCACAGAGTTAGAAGCACCACTGGCCTGGTTTAATTCTAAAGATAATTCTGTGCTTGAAGGCTTAATTTCTAGAGTGTTGTCCTTCAAAACTGGAACTTTTGGCACAGGAAGATCAGTGGTTGTATTATGTTTGGTAAACATCATCTTAGCTGGTTTTAAAATATCGGAACTTGATTGTTCAGTTTCGCTAGAAGGTAGATGAGGTGCACTGGCTATTCGCTCCACATTATCAACCATTATATTGTCTTTTAAATTAGCTTCCTCTGTGTTTTTTAATTGATCATCCACAGTCGAGTTAAGATTACCACTTGGTTTTTCTTGTTCCTGAATATCTATTGTTACCTCAAGCTTTTCACTGAGCTGTTCTGTGTTTAAGGGTGCACTATTCACAGATGAATTGTTTTTAGAATGTACACTGTCTAGAATATCCACAGTTGCATTAACCCTAGTGTCAGGACTCTCTTTAGGGTCATGTGACTGGACCAGGTCAACAGTGGTATTTCCTGACTTAGTCTTAATATTGTCATCAATATCCACTGTTGAATTACATCTCACGTCAGACCTCTCCTTTGACTCTTGACACTCAAAAGTGCTGTTCTTCTGCCTGGTGTTGTGTAGATCAACAGTCACATTAACACCAGTGTCAGACTGTTCTTTCGAGTCTTGGGTCACATCAAAAGGGCTGTTCTTCTCCGTGGTGTTGTGTAGATCAACAGTCACATTAACACCAGTGTCAGACTGTTCTTTTGAGTCTTGGGTCACATTAAAAGTGTTGTTCTTCAACTCCGCACTCATGAAATCTGATTTCTCTAAAGATGTTGTGGATACCGAGGGTTCATTGCAGCGCTCATCTGCTTTATCTGCTGTTGCACTAACATCTTTCTCATTATGTATAGATCTAGTAGGGTTAGGTGAGGTGCTTCCATCTGTCGACTGACAGTGCGCACCAAGAGAGCAACTAAGATCGGAATTGATGGCAGCCTCTTTTCTCTGGGCTAAAACTCCCTCGTCCTTATTTTTTGTTTGATTTTCTGATGGTGTGGGACCAGGTGAATTCAACACAGTTCTGGTTTCATTTAAAAGAAACGACGGGCCGAAAGTGTCATCAAGAAATCCAGACACTTGGGGAAAAGGTTCATCTGCAATTGAATAGAAACTAGAACACACATCTGGCAATTTGATAGGCTGGTAAGAAATGGGTTTCTGAAGAGATGATCCACCCAATAGGTTGCCATTGGCCTGGGCAAGCTTTTGCCTTAGAAAGCTCTCCATTTCATAGCAGAAAGGTATCTGAAAAAAAAAAAAAAAATAAGAATAAAAGTCTGGGAATTATTTTGTGGCTTCCTGAAACCTACTTACTGATAATCTCACGGAGATCATCACATGAGGAAGAAGAAAAAAATACAATACAAAAGATAGTATCAGTTTAAATTCCTTAAATACTTAACTAAAAATAAACACTTAAGTAATGTTACCGCATTGAGGAAACCCAAATGTGTTATTTAAACATCTGATAATAGTTTAGGTAGTATCACATTACACAACAGACTAAAATTATTATCAATCAGCTCAGCTTGTAACTGACAACTGTAACGAATGTTTTGATATGGTAACAATAACACTCGACACGGAAAATTAGTAACGAGCCTACTTTCGATAAGGAACAAACAAACTCAAAACTATTTCTAAACAACTTAACAAATCGTAATCATTAGGAAACATTATCATCTTCTTACCGAGTCTCTTTACAGGCTGACTCTCTGGTGTTAGATACTTCCGTGTCTGACGATTTGAAAACGGCGTCCTTCTATTCATTGGACAAGACGCTCAGACCTTGACCAATCAGACTGACGATCTGTGTGGCGTTTAGAAACATCACAGCGCCCCCCAGTGCTGGCAGAACAAAGACCTCAGTTCTTTCTTATTCTCTCTATGACTCTGGTTCTTTCTACTAATATAAATTTGCATATTTAACAACTAGATATATATGCACACACACGATACACCTATTTGTTGTTTCATGGTGCTCTAAAAACAATTGCTAACACACGATCTAAAAGGGTAAATAAACGAAAAATAAAAAATAAAACATTATTACAATTTCTTTTGAAACTGAGATGCTTGTCAACCTAGGATTATATTAACTGAAACATTTATTTATAAAATGACCGTCACAAACCGATTGATTGCATACCGGTACATTAAACCTAAAGGTTGTAAAAAAATTAAAAAAGACATAGGACTACTTTTCAGTTTTAACATCATAGAAATGGTTCAGTATTTTCTTGTTAACTTTCATTTCCATAAAATCTGCTAAAGAGTAAAATTCCAAATTACAATAAATTTCGTATTTCATTAAAAAATCCATATTAAAGATGAATTAAATGTGACATCTTTGTTATTATTATTTTTATTTTTGAACATGTCTAGAAAAACATTTAATGGCGAACATCAAAAAAAGGGAAGACCCGGGCGTGGTTGTAACAAATTTTGTTACAGCTTCTGTAACTCAATGATTTTTTAAACTAGATTTCTCTAACTTGTATACAAGTATATTTGTTTAGTACAAAAGACACCAATTCAATCCTAATATCGCAGCCCTTAAAAGTTGATGTCATATATACATGTTATGCCTGTTACAATCTAGCTCACTGCTGGGTTAAGTTGTAACAATTAAACAAAAGATACAAAAACAGAAACCATATTATGCAATAAGCTTCAAAAACAGGTTTGTTAAAACGATCCAAAAGAACAATACAAAACAGTGTCTCTCTTTCTGTGACTGACCCTATCAAATTTGACAGGTAATTAGTCTACTCGAACAAACTCTCTTAACTGTATTGAACACTCAACTGAGTGTACCTGATTAAAGAACGTAAATGTGTGTGAGAGATTGTGTCTATATGTGAATATATTCTGAATCAGAGTAACAATGGTGAGTTTTTAGGCTTGGTGAGCCCACACTCACTAACTTGTTGCCAGATGACTCCATAGGTTAAAAATGCTTCACATTTTGCTTGAGAAACTACAATTTGATGTAATATAAGTTATAATATTGTATCTGCAAATGTTTAAGCATTTAATGTTTTTCTTAATGAAATCATGAGCCTAATTACAGTCTTGACAACCATTATATGTCATCTGGGATGAAGTGGGTATAATGAAATGATCATAGGACTCTTAGATTATCTCAAATTGGTGGTTACAACTCTCCCCATGTCTCCCTCTATCACCCCCTGAAAAAAAAAGTATGTGTAAATGTAAATATTAATGTTTATGTGACATCAAAAGGGAAGTTAGGTCAGAGATTGTCTGATTATTATAGGGATTTACACTCCTAACTACATAGTTAAATTATATAATTTTTCCAGGCACAAAACTACGATCTGCTATTATTTAACACTTATTTATTTGAACAATTATTTTACTTTTCTTTGTCAATCATCAGTAGAGGTTTTCAGTATGAATGATAAAACCATAAAAAGATAACTATTGTATTGTTTATTTTTAATGTAAAAGAGTTAACATAACTTTTGCGCGTCCGCATGAGCGCAAAGGTGCTCCGCATCCCCTTGACACCATATACTACACACAAATGATTAAATAATAATGATTATATATATATATATATATATATATATATATATATATATATATATATTCCGGTTTTGAAAACTCTTCACGATTGACTAAAAATGCTTCCAAAATCGACAAAAGTCGACCACGATCAACGGGTTGGTGACACATGTAACGTTACTGTTTTACGGTCAATAGTACTAATCAGCTGATTGTCAAAGCCATAACACAGCAAGGGAGAACTAAAGTACATGAAACAAGCCAGCAACCTATTTTACACCACTGACAAGGGAAAAGTCACTACTCACGGTATCTATGGCTAGCTTCTAACTTTCTGTGACTTCTCTTTCAAGGTAGTGACGAAACACATGCTCTGTAGCGCTGTTTGTTTGCTGTTGCTACGGTAGAAACATGACGTCACAATATGTCGACCTTCATTGAAGGGGGTGCCCACGGTTATGTAGATATAAATGTCTCATTCTAAGGTAATAAAAACATAATGGCTCATTGAGGTCTTTATACATCAGTGAACACAGTTATGGATCTTATATTGTATTTCTGTCAATAGATCCTCAGAATTATTACACATTGCACCTTTAATCACATACTGGTTTTCACTACGAAGAGTTGCATCATGATGTGTCAATGGCGCACCACAATTCTGGGAAAAGGGGTAATGCCTTGGAAGGAACTCTGTGGGTATTGTAGTTCTCATGGCAGATCCGTGACCACACAGACAAACACATGCATTAAAAAAAAACGTATGAGCAACAGCTGACCAGAATGAACAACAACACAGTGACAAGTGAAAGTCTGTTTTAAAATGAGTACCTGAAGGTTACATTACACCACTAAGGGTAGGTTTTCGAAATGTAAATGTATTGTATATATTCTTAATTTAAACATGTTAGATTGTAAATAAATAACTTAATTTAAAAGTAAGAAACATAGCCACGGGGCGATTTTAAATAATGGCCTACATTGTAGCGTAAACATCTAACATAAAAATAGCGTCCATCCACTTGATCTTAATTAAAAGAATGAGATTGCCATTTCAACGGGAACCATGTGGAGAACATGAGGTCAGAGGATTCCATTGGAGATTCATTGGGGATTAAGGATCTTCACCCGCTTCATAACAACATAACGAGATCCTAAAATGACAAAACCATACCCCAGTCAGGACTCGCTCTCACACGCACGAACATATTTAGAAACTATTACATAACATTTTGCGTGCTCAGTCTTTTTTCGCGATCCCGGTTCTCTCTGGTTGTGTATTTACAGACACACGGTACACGACTCATCACATGACTGACTTCAATTCCCATCAATCCCGTCGACGCATGCGCACGACGCGTTGTCTGGCAGTGGTAAACAGACGTCAGAAGGGAGTCTTCGCCTCGAGTCAAAACAAAACAAGAAAGATCTACGAGGAATAGCTGTTTGTGTATCTCTATTAACAACAGACGAGAAACTATTTCGCATTGATTTCAAGAGACGACCAAGTTATTGAAAATAAGCAGGTTTCTTCGACTTTTACCGGAGGCATTTTAACTCATAAAAACTGGAGTTGGCTAACTAGTTACTCTTTCTGTAGTAAAACTACGCTTTTGAGTTTTGTCCCAGAGGCCGAGAGGCCGGCGATTGCCAAGAAGCGGACGGGCTACAACGTTTTGTCTTTTTGAAGAACACATCGACTGTAGTGGGGTTTGGGAAGGCTTCAGCGGGACGGACACGTTCGGCTTAGCTGTGCCCGCGCGAGCATCGTGTGTAGCTGCGTCTCGAGGAACATGGCAGATGGTGACACGCGCCAGCAGCACACAGCGTGGAGGACCGTGCAAACTTGAACGACAGTAACAGAGATTTTTTTATTGTACGGTAAAAAACAAAACAAACATAAAACAACCCGTTCGAGCACTCCTGTAAGATGTTATCTTGTTGTTTTTTTTAATGTAAAATTTTGATCGTGATTAATTCAGTTTAAGAGCATTTTCCCCCGTAGGGCTTCTTTTAGGGAATTTAACATTATTGCTCAACGCACTTGAGATAGGATGTACTTTAAGCCTCGCATTTATTTGTTTTACCTTAATAATGGATCCCAATAAAAAAATGAAATGGCTATGTTGACTTTGACAGGCAGCTCTAACAAGTAATTTCCATTCACTTGACTTCGTTTACAAGTTGCAGTATTCCTAGATTGTACAGAAATACAACACTCAGTTTACGTTGTACGAAGCGTATTAAGCTGGTTTATAGCTTTTTGTAAAGTTCCTCCGTTTGTCTGCCCTGTTTTTCTTTCTTTCCTTGTTCTAAAGTCTAATTGCGAAAACGAATCAACCAATCGCTGCTATAGGAAGGAACCAGTTGGAGTTGGATACTTTAGCAATTACGGCGCATGCTATGATTGGTTTTGCTATTTCACTTATTTAACTGCTTCGGCAATGATTTTTTTATTTGTAAAAAGGTGTTTAATTTTCCATGAAAATTCATAGATTATCTCCTCACTCCAGCGCGTCCTCTATCCTGAGTTTTATTTCAGTAGTTGCTCTTGACAATCCAGCTGTTTTGATGTGTAGTGAATTTCCTTTGTTCCTTCTACATAAACAAAGAGACCCCCATTCTATCCTCGTTTGCTCTATTTAAATCAGATGGTTTATGTTAGTTACTATTAAGGAGATTATTTGCCCCCTTTAATCTTCAATCTGAGGATTAACTGGCGCTATAATTGGTGTGTTCAGATTATTACGAATTTGCTGTTACCATAGGCAGTCACGGTTAAATTTAGTCAAGGAACTATACAATATTATTCCTAAAAAATTGTCGTCACTAAACAATATTATTTTACTTAATTATTATTATTTTAATTAGTTATACATAGTCATACTCTTACTTTAATCGCCCAGTTGGTGTATTGCACCGTGTTTTTAAAAGCATCGCCCCAAAACTATTTCACTGAAATCCAGCCTTCGTCTGAAAATATCTGGATTGCTTCCCACAATGGAGGAAGAAAACGTACCCCCGATTGACCCAGATTTTGAGCCGCAGAGCAGACCGAGGTCATGTACATGGCCATTGCCTAGACCCGACATCTCATCTGTCAAAGCCGGGGGGGCAGACGGCACAGAGTCCGCTGCTGGAACTCCTCCCGCCGAAGAAGATAAACACGAGCCTCAGCCAATCATATCCGAGCCTGAGAAAGTCGCGCTCCCCGATGGCGGGGTCGTCGTTGGAGTGGGCGGGGCCACGCCTCGAAAAGGCACTTCACGCCGTAATGCTTGGGGTAATCAGTCCTACGCAGATCTGATCAGCCAGGCGATTGAAAACTCGCCAGAAAAACGACTTACACTAGCGCAGATCTACGATTGGATGGTAAAAACGGTGCCGTATTTTAAGGACAAAGGAGACAGTAACAGTTCTGCTGGATGGAAGGTATGTAGAAGAAAGTATTAATTGATAATTTTGAGTAATAATAATCAGGGTTTGAAATGAACCTTTTCACTCACTGACCTAATTAGCTATTAAAATTAAAAAAGTTACTGGCTAAAACAAAAATATCAGAAATAAATCACATTTTCAAAAATCAAAGCTTATATTTAAATATCACATTGAAATCTATGTATTATCCCCTTGAAGTCTGCACCAAGAAAAAACCCTCTGAATTGACTAGTGAGTTCATAGCATTCAAACCCTGATCCTAAACCTTGTCATGCAGTAACACTATGTCATGTTGTTTAAATATGAGATTCGATTCTTTTGTTGTTGTCCTATTTAGAACTCCATTCGCCACAATTTATCACTCCACAACAAGTTCCTGCGAGTCCACAATGAGTCCACGGGAAAGAGCTCTTGGTGGATGCTCAACCCTGAGGGTGGCAAGACCGGCAAAGCCCCGCGCCGCCGCGCCACCTCCATGGACAACAGCAGCAAACTGCTTAAAAGTCGTATGCGAGCAAAGCAGACTAAAAAGCAAGCTGGAGCAACTGGGATTGGAGGCTCTGGAGCTACCCTGCAGGGTGAGGGTGCTTCCGGCACCAGCGGTGCGGACAGTCCTGGGACTCCGGGTCAGTTTGGAAAGTGGGGCGTGAACAGCAGCAGCCCTTCCTCTCGTGGCAACCTGGATGACCCCGACATGTGGACAAGTTTCAGGCCACGCACAAGCTCCAATGCCAGCACCCTGAGTGGTAGGCTTTCTCCCATTGCCACAGGGCAGGAGGACGAGGATGACCTACCTGAGGATGGCCTGCTTGGTGGCTATTCTACAGGGAATCTTCCCCCAACACTAACTGAGACCCTCATGGAAGAACTGGATTTGATTGACGGGCTCACTTTAATGACTGGTTCACAAGGGGGTGCGAGCCCAAGCACGGCTCCCCCTGCCCCGCCTCAACCTCTACCCTCTGCCTCCACTCTGCTGCCTCGAGGGTCCAGCTTTCCCTCATTTAGGCAGCTGCAACCAACAAAGGCTTTGCAGGGATCCACTCCATCAGGTCCGCAGAACTCGGTTCAACCCACCGCCAGATCCAGCACAAGCCCTTCCAGCTTTGGAAACTCCCTCTTCAGCCCTCTGCCTGGTCCTGGTCACAGTGGGTTCAGCGCTCGCGTGCCCTCCAGCCTCGAAGCTCTCCTGACCTCTGATTCGCCCCCACCAAGCGATGTCATGATGACCCAGATGGATCCTCTAATGCCTAGCCAAGGAGGTGGTGGCCTTTTGGGGCTTGCAGCATCTATTTCCAGCAGCCAAGCCAAAGCAGGTCAGATGATGTTGAGCAAAGGCATTGACACAAGCACTGTGGGGCAGATGAGCCTTCAACCTCAATCCCAACTCCAGCACTCACAGATGGGCTTTGGAATGATGCACTCACCCATGAACCAGGAAGCGCCTCAGCTCGCAACCATAAAGAACCAGCATCATGTGCCAGGCGCTGGGCTTCTGCAGCATGGAGCTGTTCCGTCATCTAGTGGGAACGGAGGCTTGCAAGGTCTTGGCCAATTTGCGTCAGTGCCCTGTTTCATGCCCTCCCAGGACCGTCTACCTACAGACTTGGATATTGAGATGTTCACTGAAAACCTGGACTGCGATGTGGAATATATTATCAACAGTGATCTTATGGATGGAGACTTGGTTGACTTCAACTTTGACCCCATCATACAGGGTGGGCAGGGCTATTCTGGACCAGCGACCACACAGAGCTCCTCCCATAACTGGGTGCCCAGCTAACTCCATTTAATGATGAGAACAGGTAATGTATCAGAATTTTGGTTTGCTTTACGGGATAGCTCACCCAAAATTGACATCTCCAAACCTATATGACTTGCATATTTCTTCAGAACACAAAGAAATACACATATATATATATGTGTGTGTGTGTATATAATATATAAAATATCCTTTAGTTATCTTGTTTTGAGTTCTGTTTTTGAGTGTATGGTTTTACTTTATTTATCTAAAGCTGCTCCTCTTTGTCTCCCAATTTGTTAATGTGTTTTCTATTTTTTTTAATGTTTTTACAGGATTGTCCCTCATCCTTAAAACAACTTTGAAAACAGATGTGGCACATTGCCAGAAAATATTCTACATTTTTTGCCTCTGCATTTGCCATTGTACCTCAAATACATAAACTGTTTTGGCTAAGGACAACACACACTTGGCCAAGAAGTCTTTTGTCAGAATTTTCAATAAGATGACAAAATCAAACCTCATACTTGTCAAGTGCCAATGTCGACTGAAGAGTGTGCTGTTGGACACAGAGAACATGATCTTGAAACAGTTTTTCACTTGTCTTAAATGTGCAACTGTTTTTTTTTTTAAGGTGCTGTTTTGGCCAATCTTGGACTAAAGAAGCACAACTAATAAACAGCTAATCATGTTTATTGCATTAAGGCCTATGATGTGTAGTATAAGATGGAGATGGTACTCCTCCTTGATCTTCTTCACACTGATAATGGAAGTCATTCAGCCAGGAGGATCAAACTCTGCAGCTTTTCTTGATGTGAACTCTTGCTCGTTAAACAGCAGTGGAGAAGTCCGAGAAGCCGCGATTTCTGCATTGATGGAGTGACTTGCTGTTGCTCAGCACCCCTCTGAGTATGAAAACAACATGGCACCACAGGAATGTTAAGTTGAGAACAACATTAAGTGGCGATGGTTGCAACAACCCCTGAACACAGAGCAGCTGAACTGTTACGCCGTGCTTTTAAAAGCGCGCTCTCAACGATACGACGCTTACTTGAGCATTAAAGGGCTGAAACGTTGCTGAAAGTTCCAAGGTGTTTGGTGACACTGGTTCAATGTGCAATTAGCTTTACTTTTATGACCTCTGCTCTCAAGGGGTTTTTCCTGTGATGTGTTGAAGAGGCTGATAACTAAATGATGATTTAACTGTCTACTCTCAAGTGTTTGTTTGATAACAACAGTATGAAGAAATGTGATTTTTTTTCACAGGGCATTTTGATGCATTTTTAATCCTGCCAACAGGTTAAATGGCATAGTGTTATTGTTGGAAACTCTGTGCCCTTTTGCAGAATACAATATCTGAAGATTTTTTTTGTGTGTGCTGGAGGGTGTGTGTGTGTGTACATTGTGTGCGTGCAAATATGTTTAATGCTCCCGAAACTAAACTTGATTCCAACACACTGACAGAATTCAAAGTTATGGTGCAAAATTTCAATAAGGCACAAAAGAAAGTTAAATGTGAATCTTGAAGAAACATGGCTACAATAATGAGATGTTCTGGTTCCTCTGGCACGTTTGACTTTGTCCAAAGAGGCACAGAAGAAAAAAAAAAAAAACTATTTTCTCATAGATCAGTTTTTCATAAACTAATCATAAAATAATTTTTCTAATTTAGATTGGAGAGTTATCATTAACAGACTAATAAAAAAAACATGCTGTTAATGAGCTTTTTTTTAACAGTCATTTTCTATGTAATCTTTTATTTTTGTAAAAGATTAGATGCATGTAGATTTTATACAATAACCAAAGGAACACTAAGGACTGCATGTTGGATGGATGGACGGATCGCAGTACGAATAAGCTTTACAAAATCTTTCCGAAAAATTAACATGTAAACTAAATCTTAATTTGATTGGTTGCATGATTACGTTTATCAGAATACAATGCTCCAAAAGTTAAAATATGCTATAATTGTGCTAAAAAAAACTTTCTAGGCAATGATATCATCTCAAAATTCAAGACTGGTCCAACCGAATAGGATTAATCCAATGTTTCACTCTCAGGGTTATGAAAAATAATGATTACCTTCTGTAAGGAAGTAATGAGATAATCATGTTATGACTTCGATTGCTCACGGCTTTGTCTAAATTATGAGTCATTTATGCAAGCCAATATCACAGATATTTTACCATTGGAGAAATATATGTAATGTCACAGTTTATAATGAGAGATTTAATGTATGCTTTTTTCCTACAAAAACTTGTAAACTGCCAATGAACACTATAGCATGTCGCTCACGATCGAACCATACAGTTTTTATGCCGTTTTCTTTTAAACTTTCAACTTACCTTTTCTGTAATAGAAGGGTTAACTTTTATTTGATCATTTTCTCAGATGGTTTTTACTCTTTTAGTTTAAAACCAGCAGTCTGAATGTTTATTCATTTTAGGGGTGTATAAATTGGCTTCAGTTTGAGAGCTTGACATTAGTTACTCTTTTGACATCAATGTAATGGTCTAAGTAAGTACATAAGATTAACTTAAAATGCTCTCTCCTTACAAAGGAATAATTTTTATCCTATTCATTGGTGCTAGATATTAAATATGACAATTAAAGAGGGCCATATTTGATTGGTGCAAATGTAGATATCAGGGCCTTTAATAATTTTATGCAACTCATATTGAATACAATTTCTTAATGTAGAACATAGTATGATACATGTACCTTTGTTTTAATTCCCAAACTCTCAGTTTTTCTATTCATTATAAAAGAAGCTGTGAATGGGGAGGGAAAGACTTTGCCATCTCACCACATATTGTGAATGGCGTCAGCGTGGTGTAACGTTTGATACAGCAACTGATGATTTCCAATCAACCGTTTACATTGATGTTCTTGTCTTTTGGGGCATCGTTTCTCATGTTTTTATGTTTGTACTTGTAATGCAGCTTGGTGCATGGTACATCTTCCAGAAAGCTTTAGGCTGACAGTCACCTTTGGCATTTTCTTTTGTCATTTAAATGTGTTGATATATGTTGAATTTTTATGATTAACACCCTGGCTTAGTTTTATTTCTCAAAGTACAAATATTGTATTTGCCCCATCAGACAGACATCACAGGGCTGCTGCATGAAATGCAGGAATTCCACACCTTCCCTCTTTCCAAATCACAATCTCTCTTTCCTTGTTTGATATTATCCCTTTTCCCTTTAGTATTCATTCTTTTAGTTCCTTTATTTTTTTCCAAGAGTTTGCTAAGTCTCTCAGTTGATAACACAGGACATTAGTTTATGGTCTGGGTTGGGTTTTTCCTCTGTTTTTGTTTTGGGTTATGGCGGGATGGAAGACTGACGAGTTGTGCATAGCCAATATACTGTATATGTACTTGATTGGTTTTTTGGTTTTCTTTTTTTTTTTTTTGTCCCCGCCCCCATATTTTGTTAGTAAGAGGCCATTGGAAGCAGTATAAATAAACCTAATCTGTTTAACGGAGACTGTTTTGTGTTCATTCTGTCATTGGTCCATTCATTTGACATTAGCACAGATTCAGGGCATTCATTAAATCCACACTGATTTTAAGCAGCAGTAGTAAACATGATTCACATTCAGGGTTGTAGCTTAAGTGCGGGGCAGAGGACCTCCAGGAAACCCACAATAAAATCTAAATTTGAACAGCTTTACAGATAAACAATACACAACATTTTAAAGGAAGGGTTAATGATATGATAGTGATTTTATAACATTAGAAGTTTCACATTTCTTCTTTTAAACGCTTCAAACGTCTATTATTAGGCACTCCATCATTAATCCTGGAGCGAGTCGCTTTGAATTCGTATTTGGCTAAGCCACGCCCTATAATGTAGATTGACCAATCACAGCGCAGCCAAGAGCGAGCTTCTAACACAGCTGCGTCTCATATTTTTGGTCTCGTCCGCTTTTGGTCCCTATTACCGTCGTAGTTTTATCAAAAATATGGTTAAACGTTGTGCCTGGGGCATTTGTAACACAGATACGCGTTTCCCAGAAAGTTTGGAGGGGGGTGTCCGTTTTTTCCCTTCCCAAAACCGAAGTCAAATCCTGACAAGTGTCGTCTTTGGATTAAACTGTATGGACGTCCTCAGTCAGCTAAACCCCTCAAAGATCAACAAGCACATCTTTCTTGCTTCTAACCTTACTGTGAAGTTATACTAGTTAGACCGTTTTAGGTTATGATTTCGATTCTCATAACGGTTGTTGATACGCTGGCTAGCACTCGCTGCTAATAAATACAAAGTTATACTCGTGTAGTCCGCTTGCTTTGTAATAACGATTATAGAAGTGAATAGAGACCTACCCATCTTTGCATGAACAGTGTTGCTCCCTGATATTGTTAGTCCCATCCTCCGTCTCCATTAGGTTGTGCGGTGGTTCATTTTTTGAATGTGACCGGTAACGTTATGCTTTTGCCTCTATATGGATGCCTTGTTGTTTCTTGCGTTTCGGCTGCATGTCTTCAATATAGCCTTCGAACGCATAATGCAGCCCCTTTTGCCTACTTCTATGTGCTGCTTTATAAAAGTTTGATAACATTTCAGCAGGAAGAGCTGTCACAGCCTAAGCCATGTTGATACCAAACCAGAGCCCAGATGAAGTTTGACGGAAGTAGTAACTGATTGTGAAGGGAGATCCACCACTAGATGGCAGGATTGCAGTTAGCTGTATCAGAGCCATTATTAAAGGGATTGTTCACCCAAAAATGAAAATTATTTCATCATTTACTTGTTAAAAACCTCTATGTGTTTATTTGTTCTGCTGAACACAAAGGAAGATATTTGGAAGAATGTTTTAATCAAACAGATCTCAATCCCCATTGACTAGTAGGAAAAAATACATACTATGGTAGTCAATGGGGATTGAGATCTGTTGAGATCATCGTTCTATGTGTTTGGAACAACTTGAGGTTGAGTACACGATGATTTAAGTTTCATTTTTGGGTGAACTATCCCTTTAAATAATTCCTAAATAATTTGGAATAAGACATGAGACATCTTTGATCGAATTATTTGTAACCATTAGTTAGACTGATAAAACTTATACACATTCAAGTAAAAACAAGACACATCAATGATATTGCATATCTTTATAGAAAAAAATCTTTCACATTTCAAAACTTTTTTTGCATGGTTTTTCAGGGTTTTTTGTTTTTTTGGTCAGTTTAAATTTTTACAGTTCCTACATTTACGTGGTAAATAAACATTTTGGCAATAGCCAGGCTCGTTAAGTCTGCACCGCTGAAGCACCATCCTTAACATTGTTTCAGGGATTTGGCCGACTGAAATTCAAGAACAAGCATTTAAGACAGTCCTGCTTAAGGCTGAATGTCCGTGCTGCAGTTGTATTCTGCCCCTCCTGACAAATGTCTCCGGTTGTCTGTTTCTGTCGGTCAGCCCGGATGATGAACACTCTTGGCTTGTCTTCCATTCTCAGCTAGATTTAATGCAGTTTAATGCCATACTGATGAGCCAAAAGTCAAAAGGCACAGAGCGTCCAACACAGATTGCGGCTCCTGTACTTCTTTACACATTTCTGCTGATTTACATATCATAGTATTAAATCAAAACAGTTCAGAAAAGAGCAAAACTGATGCAACAACATCACCCTCTCAAAAACAAGGACAAAAGTAATGCAAACGATAAATATTAAACACACACACACACACAAAACCAACCATAGGTGTTGCCCAAGTCATTCTGCCAACTGTAATTAGTTAACCAGAGCGATGAGAGTTTAACACAGTACAGGTATTTGGCCTTGTCAACAAAACAAAACATTGATTATATAATGGCCATGGCATCAGAGGGCTCAACACCTCTCCAAGCAATTTGTAACAATGAAAACCGTTGAAACCACACTTGAAGGGTTTTGTGCAAAAGGTTCAGTGCAACATAATAACAATAATAATCATAATTTTGTGCAGGTCAGTTGTGGGCAAGACAGTGATAGGCTGACTGCAAACCTTTCTGCATCTTATAGTTCTGTCAGAAACCTTCATTTGATCTATACCAATGTGTTGATGCTAAAATCACACATTATAAGCTTATTCTGAGACCCTTCTAACATACATCACAAGGTGACTTAATTTTTACATGGTAAAATATTTCAAAACAAGTCCTTATTATTGGATAGTAATTTCTCATGAATAAATATCTACACTGGACAAGCCAGTATTACATTAAAGGGTTAGTTCACCCAAAAATGAAAATTAAGTCATTAATTACTCACCCCCATGCTGTACCAACCCCGTAAGACCTTCGTTCATCTTCGGAACACAAATAAAGATATTTTTGATTGAATCTGAGAGCTAGATCAGTCCTACATAGACTGCCTAAGGGACTGGCTCTTGACGGCCCATAAAGTCATTAAATAAAAGGTTTAAATATTCCATGTGCATACAGCGGCTCATTAATAAGTTTATCAAGCGACGAGACTACTTTTTGTGCGAAAAAAACATAAATAACGACTTTATTCCACTATTCCATTACTTCCTTATGGGCGCATGCGCGAGAACTGAGACGAGGACGTTCTCATTCGTCTACTTCTTGTTACCGGCTGCTCACCGCTTAGAAGTTTTACCGCCCCCTACCGTATAAGATGATGTGCTGATATAGCTGGAAGCGCAAAACTTTCTGTTTACAAGCAGAGGAAGATGCGCGCTGTACATACGCTTTTCAATTAGCGTATTTTCCGCACTATAAGGTGCACTTAAAAGCCTTTAATCTTCTCAAAAAACGACAGTGTTCCTTATGATCCGGAGCGCCTTATATATGGATCATCATTTTATACGGTAGGTGGCGGTAAAACTCCTAAGCAGTGAGCAGCCGGTAACAAGAAGTAGACGAATGAGAACGTCCTCGTCTCAGTTCTCGCGCATGCGCCCATAAAGAAGTAATGGAATAGTGGAATAAAGTCGTTATTTATGTTTTTTTTCGCACAAAAAGTATTCTCGTCGCTTGATAAACTTATAATTGAGCCGCTGTAGGCACATGGAATGGGGGTGAGTAAATAAGCCAGGGGTGAGTAATTAATGACTTAATTTTCATTTTTGGGTGAACTAACCCTTTAACCAGTGCTTCTCACCGATCAATGCTTCTTTCCGAATCAATTCAGTGGGTGAATTACTTAAAATTGAAGGTTTTTAAATGCTTTTAAAACAGTTTGAAAAAAGCATCCAAAATCAAATACATACTGTGTTAATTTGACCAATCCGTATAGAGCAGGTGAAACCGACTTTCTGCCCTAAGTAACTGAGAAAGTCTGAGAACACTACCACAAAGCAAACATACAATTTAAAGTAGATTAGAAAATGCAATTCCTTTCAAATTGTTCACTGTAAAGCGGTTTAGATGGCTACTGAGATGAATGGGATTACTTAAAATGGATCCTATAAAAGTATCCATGATCAACCTTTATAGCACCCATGCAGAGAGGAAAGCATGTGGAAGATTTCAGGAAAAAAAAACCAGCAATGCACACTGATCTGGGGTGCGTTTCCCGTACGATGTAACTCTAGCTAGTCACGACAGGTGTTGGAGTAAGAATGTCTTTTAATTAATCTGTTTGACATCGAATTAATGCTAGATGTTTTGCTATAAATTACAGACATGGCATCTGAGGATTATCGCTCATTTTGATTTATTTCCAGATTCAATCATAGGCTCGTTCTTCCGTACTAGAGCTCGTAAGCACACTTCAATAACAAAGCTTAAAACAAACTGAAAGACGTAAATTACATTTCTAATTTAAATAAAAGATATAGACTGTACTGAATGTTAGCTTGCTTATAAAGGAAATCAAGAAAATGATTTATTGAGTCTAGATGTCATGCAAACAATAAACTTTGCTTCGAACCACAGGTCGAGAACTGTAGTTCCAACCATGAACTATGTTTTCGGGAAACACAGACTCGTTCATGCTGATAACGATGGAACTTGCAACCATAGTTGGTTAACGATGCTTTTGTGAAACGCACCCTGAAGAAGTGAAATCAGTACTCGGACGAGCTGCCGTGCGCTGAACGAAGCCACAGCCGAAAGCTTATTGAGATGTTATTTAGATAGATAGTTTCTTAAAAGTGCTCAAAGTTGTAACTTCTCCTGCCCTTTGTTCAATTTTGCTCTGGTCTCACTGTTCCACATTCAAATGAAATATCTGGAAGCCATGTTAAGCAAGCACCTTTTGTCCAGTCAGTCATTACCTGTAAACAGTGACCTTTCCAGAATTTGATACCTTGGAAAACTGACAGTTGGACAATTCTCTCAATTGAATAGCAACAGAAAAAAAAAAAGAGGGAAAATATTAATAACAACAACAAGTGAATAAAAATAATTGCACATTAACCACCTGGGATAAAGATTAAAAAAATAAATAAAAAAGGAAAAAAACAAAAACAAAAGAACAACTAACAAATTCACATAGGAGAAGCACATGCAAAATGACAGTAAGGGTGAGCGATTGCTTTGCACTTTTTTCTTTCTTTCTGAAGTTTCACCTTTGGGAAAGAAACTTTTCACAGCAGTACCTTATGTCACAATGGTCAACTCAGAGACAACAAATACAGAGACGAAGAGACAGATCTCTGTTTGCATTTCTTTGCCTTGATTTCCATTGTACCACGTCCCTCTGTGGCGCTGTCTTATGCGATCATGTATTGAGTGATGGCTCTAAGCGCATACAGCAGCTCCGCCTGCAGACGGGCCTCCATCACTAACAAATTTACATGAACCTAAAACACAAAACCAAAGATTTGCATCAAAACACTATTATAAAATATCATACAGACATTTAAAGTACATGGTATATGTAAATACATGAATAAAATGCCATGTCAGCAGCATCTTTATGGCGAGAACAAAGTAAATAACTAAAATATAATCAGATGATACTCTTTTTTTTTTAATACATAAGTTAATCATCTCTGATGTATTAGACTACAATGTCATCTCAAAGTAAAAACATTGTCCATTTACAATACAATGTCCAGTAAAGCATGTCTAATAGTCACAGTTTGGAAGTCAGTAAGGCCTTCCAAAGGTATCCAGAGGCCCAAAATGAACATAATATGCAATTTGGTGCCCCGTTGCTGATATTTATATGCATAACAAAAATGTTTCTGGAACAAATCACCTTCCCTATCTTTAACATGATTTAAAAAAATACAGTATAACAATAGTTTCAAAGCATTTAGAGGCCTTAGAGATTTCCATACTAAATATGATACAGTATGCTTAATAGAGTTAAGCAGATGATACTGAAGTGTACGCAGCACAAATTTTGATAGGAAATCACCTTCTCTGAAGCTTTGACAGGGCCCCAGGACAGCGGCCATAGCGGGGTCTTGCTGGAGTCGGGGTAGCAGGCCACAGCTTTAATGTAAAGTTTCAGTCCACGCTCCAGTAACCGGTTAACTTCCCCATAATCGTAATCATCATATCTGAAGGTAGACATGTCAAAGTAAGTGCTTTGTTTTTGTTTTGATTTTTTTTTTTTTTTTTTTTGCATGTTCAAATCGTTCACAAGAAAATTTAAATGCAGGATGGTTTAGTTTAAAGCTAAGCTAAAAAAAAACAACAACTCTTATTTAATTTCATGATTCTTTAGGATAAAAAGAGCAAACTAAAACCAAATTGCAAACGTGTAATAAAAAAATAAAATTGAAAAAAGAATTCAGGGAACTGTACCTGATTCCATAGATACAATGAATGTAGTTCCAGATGGCTCGTTTGAGATCGGGACTGTGAGGGAAAGGGAGGGAAGCCACATTGCGGAATCGCTCGTCTAACAAGTGTCCTATATCAGAGTAGAGCCTGTTTACCAACGAAAAACCATGATCCTCCCATGAATAGTCCTGCACAGAACGACAAACAAAGAGTTCATAACATCAACTTTACCACAGAATTTGAAAGATTAGAAAGGTAATTTTGTATATAATATAATAATTTAAAATAACTATTGCAATATATTTTAAAATATTTTGTAATCCTGTGCTGTAAAGCTGAATTTTCAGCAACATTTCTCCAGTCCTCAGTGTCACATGATCCTTCAGAAATCATTATAATATGTTGATTTTCTTATTATCAATGCTGAGAGCAGTTGTGCTGCTTAATATTTTTGTGGAAACTGATACTTTTTTTTTGGGATTCTTTGATGAATAGAATAAAAAAAAAAGAACTCTTTGTTAATATTAATACTTTTGGTCAATTTCATGCATCCTTGCTGAATTAAAGTTTTAACTTTCTTAAAAACGCTGATTTGGTGCTCAAGAAATTGTTATCCATGTTGAAAACCGTTGCACTGCTGAATATTTTTGTGGAAACCGCCATACAACATTTTTTTTTTTACTTTTTTATTAATTAAAAGGTCAAAAGAACAGCATTTATGTTAAACATAAATCTTTTGTAACAATGTAAAAGTCTGTTCCGTCATTTTTGATCAATTTAATGCATCCCTCATGATTAAAAGTATATATTTATTTCTTACTCCAAACTTTTGAAAAATAATGTTAGGATAAAAGTAAGTTGGAATAAAATTAAAAAAAATAAATTAACTACAGCAATTCCCATTCAAATCAAATGCAGGAAGCCTAACAGGCATTTGAGAGGACTTGTCGTGGCACAAAGCTTCCTTTTAAGGTTTTGAGAGTAACGTTAAGGGTTCTGACAGTCTTAAGAAGGGCGGCATGAGCTGTATTTCTGACCCTTAGTACCCTTTTATGCAACTACTTTTAGTAGGTGACACCCAATGCACACTCTCTGTCCCCACCTGCACCCGGAATACTTGGAAATCGTCCTCCTCCCGTCTGGCAAATTCCTGGTAGCCGAATTCTGGATCTGTGACGAAGCAGGAGGGGTCTGCAGACAACTTCGCCTCCTCCTCCTCCTCCACATCTAATATGGAGTTGCATTTGAGAAAGAGAAAGGCAGATTACGAAAGAGGGTCCACGAGAGAAAGATATATACACAGAAGAAAATGTGCTTATACAAAAATAACTCGTCCAAATCCAAAATTACGCTTCCTGTTTACAGAAGCGTTGGGAAACATGGTAACACGTCTTTAAACTGGTGAACAACATCTTACCAGAATGTAGGAGTGTCTGTGAATGGAGTCGGTCTCCTTTTCTTTCCTTGATCTCCTCCTGTGATTTTTGAATTTGTTCTAGAAGGCAAGCAACTTCGCAGCTGGAGTCTAGAGACTACAAAAAAACAGACCACTGTTAAAAATAAGACATGCTGGTTTTGCATAAGTTACAACTGACTTCACCATGGTTGCACACGGCTGTACTAGGGTTGTTAAAAAGAATTGTCTCTTAAAGGGTTAGTTCACCCAAAAATGAAAATTATGTAAACTCGTGAACGCGGATTGACAACAGAACCGGAAGACAATACAATGCTGAATAAAGTCGTAGCTTTTGTTATTTTTGGACCAAAATGCATTTTCGATGCTTCAAAACGTTTAAACTAATCCACTCATGTCAGATGGACTACTTTGATGATGTCTTTATTTCCTTTCTGGTCAAGGACAGTATACCGTACAGACATATTCAATGGAGGGACAGGGGACAGAGAACGGAGTCTTACGGGCTTGGAACGACATGAGGGGGAATCATTAATGACATCATTTTCATTTTTGGGTTAACTAACCCTTTAAGAACTATGCTGGTAGTTAAAAAATAAGTAAAGATGGCAGTCTTTCTACTGTGTTAATAATACCAATTCAAAGTGTCCAAACAAGATCAAATGAGTCGAAAGATCGTACTTGTGCTGTATGAATGTTTGTAGAATTCAGTTTTTGAAGTAGGCTCTTGCGCTCACCAATTTAGGTGATCAAAAACACAGTAAAAACAGTAATATTGTAAAATATTACAATAATAAAAAAACATATGTGGATACGCTGCTCAAGTAACATTTCTTCTTATTATCAATGTTGAAAACAGCTGCACTGCTTAATATTTTTGTGGATACCGTGATAAAGTTTTTTTTTCAAGATTATTTGATGAAGAATTGTTCAAAAGAACAGCTTTCATTTGAAATAGAAATCTTTTGGAATATTAATATGTTTGCTGGCACTTTAAATAAAACTATCGACTTACTTAATTTGCATCAGTGATGTATTGCTTTAATTGAATAATAATGAATATTAACAAATTAGTTGCTCAGTGGTGTATTAATGGTGGACTAAATTCTGAATAATGATTACTGCAATTTTGATATTGCGACGACTCTAAGCTCTATATTTGATCTCATTTTTGTTCTTTACCAGCTACTTCATACAAACCCGAACAAATTCAGAGTTCAAAGATCTTTTATCAACTGAAACGGTTGTGAATGATCATATATACCCTTCGCCGTGATGCCTTCTCTGTGGGTCCAACAGGGGGCGGTGATAAGGCCGTGTTGCCGTTGGCAGCGTCACAGAGACAGTAACCGGGGGGTGTGCCGTGATGCACTCTGGGAGTGGGAGTGCCATCAGAGTCAGAACCAGAGCCAAAAACAAAACTGCAGAGGGAGTGACAGTGGGCCAGCAGAACCACCGCCTGAACAAGCTCAGCCAGAGACCAGCACTGCTCTCCTGTCTTGAGCAGAGCCTGTATGTGCGAACGTGCCGTGAGCCAAGGCTGATGGGCCAGGACCTTGTTGATGTGGTCAAGGTGCTGTAGACGTGGGGGTGCAGCCTCCAGCCCCTGAAGCCATAACGGATCTCCACCCACACGCAGAAACTGAGCTGAGTGCAGAGACACCAGGTAGCTACAGTGATGCCGTGCTGCAGCCTGAAACACAAAAATATGTGTCATCAAATAAAAGCAATAGAATCAAGATAATACTTGAGCCTGTGATCAACTGTAGGGCATGTGCAAGTTGGACCGGCCAGAATGATAATATTTTTATCGTGGCAACAATATAAAACCCATCGACAGAATTTTCGCACACGCATAAAAAGACGGCTCTCTTAAATGGTTTAACACACATTACATCAGAAAGCCCATTATGTGGAGAATCCAGACTATTCATGTAAGTGAATTAAAAGTTGTGTCTTAAGTAAACATAAACAGTTGGGTGAAAACCGGATGCTCAATAACTCCCTGTAAACCCTTTAAATAAGCACACTGTACAAGTTCTATTGTATTTGTCCCATTGTTTGGAATTTGAAATAAAATTTCACGTAATGTGAAATAAGACTTTGGCCATAATTCCTGATCATTATATTCTTACCATGATGGCAATGTAGTGGCGGTAGGGCAGGGGCAATGGCCCATCCATATAGAGGATGTAGTGCTGTGTGCGCAGGAAACTCTCCAGGTATTGTGGGTGAGAAGCCATCTGCTGAGACACCGTGTCCAGACGCCCCCTGTTGGCCAGAGCCTTCATACACAAGAGAGAAGCACGGTCTTTCTCAGAGTTCACCATCACCTGCCAGAAGAATAAAATCAGCATTTAGTGAACAAAACATACCAATTCAGAGCAGTTTTTGTGTTTAAAGTTTGTTAATCTCAAAGGAACCCCTTTAAAATAAAATAAAAATGTATAAGCGCTTGAAATATTCCTCAAATAGTTTCCCAAAAAAAAACCCCAACAACAACGAGTAAAGGAATATTAGCAAATAAACACTGCTTCTGTACACGGGTCCTGTGGGCATCGAGGGACGACAACAGACACTGCACACTTGGCCTCCTTTAGTATACAGACTAGACAGTCGTCTGTCGACCTCAATCTCCCACTAACTTTCACGCTGCAAGATGCTTAAAATAAATCCAGATGATAAAAACAGCAACTGGACACCATACCCATGGATAATCACAGGCATAACTTGAGATCTATGGCTCACTCATCCGTATTTAGCATATGGAGTCTATTTTACACAATTAAGACACCTTGTGGAAAGGAAATCTTCTAATGCCCCTGTTTAATTGTGTTGAGGAGATCTGCTGACTCATGTCTTCATGCTCTTAAATGCTGACTGTGAAGGCCAGTCGAGGCCTTGTTCCTCTGCCTTTGGCCTGCTTTGTGTCTGACTGTGGGATTATGGAAATCCTGCCTACTCCCCTCCTGTTCTTCGACACACACACACAGAGAGAGAGAGAGAGAGAGAGAGAGAGAGAGAAAAAACAACTGAATAATAATTGTTCCCTAATATTAGTTAGATTCTTCGGTTTGAAACTACTTGTTTTCTGGTGGTGGGGAAAATTACGGACCAAATAATATAAATTTCGCAATTACACACAGAAATACGTCATATTATGGAAAGTGCATTTTGACACAATAACAGCTCTGTGGAAATGGTCGATTTTTGATTAACTAAGCAGTGAAGTTACATTGGGTCTAGACTAAGGCTGCACAACATGGGAAAACACATTTTTTTCTTCCCCAAATTCTGTATTTTTATTTATTACTATTATTATTACTATTATTATTATTACTAATGTATAAGTGAATTTTAAAATAAAACAGTGATATATTTGACATTACCTTATAAGATAAATTGAACTTATTTAGGGAGTTTGTCCTGAAGACCTTTCAGTTTAATGTGAATTTGACAATAGCTTTTCTCAAACGAAAAGGTTAAATGCTCAGAGGTGAATTCTCAAAGCTGCTCTTGAGATGAAGACGTTCGTGTACAGTCCTCATACAGTGAGATGGCAAACCCTGAAAACACCAATGACAAAACTGAGCCAGTCATTCACAAAGAGACAGACAGAAAATGCAGAATTATTTGGCACTGAATCGTTCAAGGTGTGGGCTAATTATCATTGCTAGTATGTGATATGAGATCATATCTAGTGTTCGACTGTGTGTACTGGCAGTAGTTATTCCTTCGAGTTAAACCCTGCTCTGTGGGTCAGTCTGGAGTTCGGTTACACTTTCTGGGGGGAGAGAAGATGATGAGCTCTGACAGAAGGCAAACATGAACGTGGTCACATATTGAATGAAATCCTGGGCCATCATAACTCTTCCTGACACTACTGAAGAGTCACAGTGTGTACTGCGCCAAAAATCCCTTTGAGTCACTATATATTTGTACTCCAAATACCACTTAAAATCACATTAAAGAACTACTGGGCCTCAACTATATTAGCTAGGCTATACTTCAATTGATTAATTCTTCAAATGGACATTAATGGTGGCAAATAGAGATGTCCTCTAACTAACACAGTTTCATTAAAAACATTGCACTAATCTATGATACCTTTTCATGAGCTGGTGTCTAAGTACTCTACAAATATATTAGTGGTGAAGCAATCTCTTAAAATTTTCACAATTTCGTAGAGCGTTTTCCCTTGAATAATAACAACGTTCACTTTGCGCCCTCACAAACCGATGAGGCCTTTAAAATCTGGGGCCCGTTCTTTGTACATTGCTTAAAACATCCGAGATCAAACGAGACATCCAAGATAATATCATCGTGCTCATCATGATCCAGCTAATTATGTTCTTCAGACACACCTACCGGTTATAATTAGTATAGCTTGAGTTATCTGCACCCCCACATTAAACCCAGGCAGAAAACCTGGCCCTTGGGTTAAATATGAACCATCCCATTGTGGAGGGCATCCTATTGTTTCTGAATGCAATAGGAGTTGCACATCTACAGAAGACTCTGCACAAAGCAGTGATGCAGAGGTGAGCAGTGTTGTACTTTTCCTTTTAATTCTTGATGCATAAGCCAGGTGTTGACAGGTTTACCCCTACCCTTAGAAAATATTTGAGGAGTATTTGAAAAATTGAGGAGTATTTGAAAATACTTGACAACTTAAAGAAAAAATATGCCACTAGAGATATAGTTGCTTCATAGGAACTTCAGAGTAAAGGCCATTGCACAATGACTGAAAATTTCATATGCGTTTTTTTTTTTTGCTTTCGTGATTTCGTGGCTCTGAATTGTCAAAACGGCATTCAAACTGCTTGCTACGGATGCGAAAAACGCAGAAAATTGAACCCGATTCGTTTGTTTCGGAGGCGGTGTGCAAGCGTGATTGACATAACGTGAGGTCGCATTGATTTTTTAACATGCGAAAATTTTGGACGGAATTTTTCATACTCAGTGTGCAGGGCCTTAAAGGGTTAGTTCACCCAAAAATGAAAATTAAGTCATTAATTACTCAGCCCCATGCTGTACCAACCCCGTAAGACCTTCGTTCGTCTTCGGAACACAAATGAAGATATTTTTGATTAAATTTGAGAGCTGTATAACTACCACATTGGCTCCTAAAGGACTGCCTCTTGACGGCCCAGAAAGTCAATGAAGAAAATGTTTAAATATCCCATGTGACTACCGTGGCTCAACTATATGTTTATCAAGCGACGAGAATACTTTTTGTGCGAAAAAACAAACAAAAATAACGAGTTTATTCGACTATTTCTTTTCTTCCTTGTAGGCCAGAACGAGACTTCCTTAGATTTCCACGCATGCGCGAGAATTGCGATCTGCTTACACTACTTCAGATCGCAATTCTCGCGCATGCGTCGTGGAAATCTAAGGAAGTCTCGTTAAACATATAGACATATATATAAACATATAGTTGAGCCACGGTAGTCACTTGGGATATTTAAACATTTTCTTCATCGACTTTCTGGGCCGTCAAGAGGCAGTCCCTTAGGAGCCAATGTGGTAGTTATACAGCTCTCAAATTTAATCAAAAATATCTTCATTTGTGTTCCGAAGACGAACGAAGGTCTTACGGGGTTGGTACAGCATGGGGCTGAGTAATTAATGACTTAATTTTCATTTTTGGGTGAACTAACCCTTTAAGTGCTAATACATTATTTCACACAGAGTACTATTCCTGACTTTGCATAATATCTCTTATTTCAGGCAAAACATGACTATCACTGGCTTATCTTTACAAAGAACAATTAAAATAAAACTCAAAGAACTAAGCATATTTGTCTCATCTTATATTAAACATTAATGAAATGTTTTATATTTTTTCTGATGGTGCAATGTTGTGTAATATGGCCCATGCAATGTCACAGGCCGTGTCAGGTGCAACCCTCAGGCTTTTCAGACACTTTAGATGGCTAAAGTTCTCTTCATTGTGTGCCCTTGTCCTGGCTAGAGCGGCATTGTAACTGGTCTGGGGTTTGGGTCAGGGAATGGGAATGGGGTCATAAAACACCTGTCTCCAAGCAGGATCCTGTTGTAATCACCTCTATAATGGAAAAATTCAGTTCTGTTAGGATAAGTGTAATGCAGCTTGATATTTATATTTTCCTTACCACGTTCAAATAATGTGCATAGATCTCTGAAAAATCTTGAGTCATGCACAGATCCTGGCCATAGCTGTCAACATTGAACATTGAAAATAAGTGAGATTTCCCGGAATTCATCCCCAAAATAAGGGATTTTTTTTTCTTTTACACGATTCTTACCCACAAATTTAAAAATAAAGGACTAACCATTAAAAGTCTAAAGGGTGTATAACTATCCTACGTGTGAGAGAGAAAAAGACAGTGTGTCAGTTAAAAAAAAATCAATAGAGAATGTTTAAATACTCTAATATCAGCTTATGACGGAAACCGACAGGCTTTGGGAAAACGGAGGGGGAGTTCTTTTACAACAAAAGTAGAAGCAATACGTGATAAGTGCAGAACAGAACAAGCCAGTCTTTTGCATTTGTTTTGGTCATGCACAAAACTTACAAGCTTTTCAAAAACAATTGTTTGCTTTTTCTCAGAAGTACTTCAGACACCAATTGAGCCCTCTCCTATTACAGCTATATCTGGAAGTGCCAGAATATGGCACTAGTCTAAACCCACAGTGCTAAAAGTATGATAGCCTTTGTCACCCTTTTAGCAATAAAATGGAAAGGTAGGTCTCCACTTACTTCTGCACAGTGGATTAGAGACCCCATGCACAATCTGACACTGGAAATTGTTTTTCTGTAATAGGTAATAGCTGTAAATTCTGTTGCTTAATGCTTGGCAGCGAGTCTTGACTTGGATATGTAACTTGGATTCTAGGTTAATGATGTCTTGACCAACTTCTGTTATTACCCTCTGTTAACACACTATTTGTGCCATTACTATATATATAGTATGTGAATGCTTATGAAAAAGTATGTGTATGTGCATTTTATTTATTTAGAATGTTTATAAATATTTACTTTTGATTATTTTTATTTGTACGCATTAGCAAAATTATAATAAAAAGACTTATTTTTGGAAGATTGGAAGATATTATTGGAAAGTATGTGGGTAATAAATGATGTTTAGGCCTACAGATTGTCCTTCCCTTCCCAGCTCTTCATACAGCGGCTGGCAGAAGGAGAGGGTTATAAATATCTGGAGGACAGCTGAGATAGCACTTGCATAGTTAAGATAGAAATGCCATTCCTGTGCAAGGGACACCACAAAGAAACAAAGATCCCAGCGTATGTGCAAGATATAGTAAACATCTCTCCAGACAGGTTCTTAGAGTAAACATTCTTGAAACAATATGAACTTAAACACTACACTAAACCTTGAGTCAATATGCATGTCTTAACCCAGTTATTGAACTGGAGTTCTGCATTGAGGTGCAAACTGTGGTTTGGCCTCTATTTGGAAAATGAGTCCACCTAACAGGTTTACAGAGGTTTTTGAAAGACCGAAGCTTAACATTTTATATTATGACTATTTAAAAAAAGACACAAAAGCTGGTTGATGATTTTGAGAGGCACAATGACGAAACAGGAACAAAGACATTCTTCTATCAAAGAAAAATATCTGTTTCAAGTCAGCGTTGAAATTACAATATGTTTCTGCTTGAGGAAATGTCTCTTGTCATTCAACATGCTCAAGGCTTGCAAAATATGTGCAAGCAAAACATGCCAAACAAAACATCATGGATTAATTACAGTTACCTAGAAAGTCAGGCATTTTGATACATGTTGCAGATCAAATGTCTATCAAGACCTATTTTTATGTAACTTCTTTTTATGTAACTTAATTTGTTGTGTCCAAAATGACACAGTATGCACTAGGCCTAGGTACTCTACCTTCTAGTGTATGAACTTTATAAGGTTTTTTTTCATCAGAGTCTGATCGACCCTCCACCTCCTGTACGCAAGGATAACTAGAAGGAGAGTGTATAAAGTTTTTTTTTTAAATTTCACACTTTAGTACATCATCCAGGCATTTAATGTCTAATTTTCAGTATGAACATACTATTTGTACTACAAAATGGCATAAAAAAGTACTACATAACACTGGGATGCATCCATTGTTTGGATACTGTACAGTGCACTAGGTTTTAAGAGTAATAAAGTGAAAATATGGTCAACTAAGGGTCATATTGGCAAAAGAGCACAAGCCATAGGGACAAGTCATTTAAACGGGATTAAGATGTTGAAGTCAGCTTCAAACAACGAATCAAACACTAGTATCCATTGGGATGCCCTTTCCCTGGTAAACAGATCACATGTCTCAAAGTCTGTTCGCAATGCGCAAAACTTTTCAGCGGTGACCCAGAAAAACAGGCAACTGCAATACAGATATATTCAACATGCTATCATTATTCAATACAGTGTTAATTTCATAGCCTGTAGTATCGGCAGCTACACAAAATCACAAGGGAGGTTCTGTATACCTGGAACGAGACAAAACAATTTCCAATTAACTACTAATGAAACTTCAGAGAGAAATTAGAGACTAATGCAAGTCTGAGGGACGCTCACACACCCACACAGATGCGGCAAAACGAAACGCCGCAGCAGATGCTGTCAACTGAAGAGTTTTTTTATACCGAAACTGCGATCAACAAAAGTTATCTAAAGGTTAAACTTGATATTTAGAGTATACAGTTTATAAATAACACCTTCCCAGTTCATGGTCAACTGTGTAAGGTTATTTTGAAACTAGGGGTGATTTTTGCCAATACAGGATGCCTCATAGCACCAGTAACCAACATGTCTTTCCTAACAGCCAACACGAAACAGGAAGTTAGTCTCATATCCTCTTGGTGAGTCCCTCAAATTTATCTGAAATCTTATTTACTGGGTAAAAAAAAAGTTGCCACTTTCAGCCATCATAATTCCTGTTTCTATGAAAATAATTGTGCCATTTATGGTCTTTACATAATAAATCAATTATTTGTTAGAAACAAACAAGTTCATGTGGTAAGGAAAGCAGAATATATGCATTACAGATAAAAAATAAAAAAGAGTGCATGATCACTCCATGAACAAACAAAACAGCATTTAGATTTGAATACATTTGCATGTACCCAAGCACTAAGATTTGAATGTGTTCATGTGTTTATTCTAGCAGGCCAAAATGTCAAAATACCCCAAAAAAATTATAGGGAAAGGTTTAAAGGAGAGTTTAAAGGGAAAGGACGAAATTACCTACCAGGACGAAATTGTTAATTCACTTTTCCAAACCTGTATGGCTTTTTTTCTGTGGAACTTTTATTTTTTTGCAAACTATGGTCACCAAAACGGTTTGGTTACTAACACACTTCAAAAGATCTTCTTTCATGTTCCACATTAGAAAAAGTCATACAGGTTTGGTTTGGAACGGTATGAGGGTGGGTAAATGATGACAGGTTATTTGGGTGAATTATCTCTTTAAGTGTGCAACATATTGTCATTCACAAAACCAAAATAACCAAGACAGCAGACATAGTGAAAAAAGACAAATATAAGCCTACTGCTCGTCTTTTGTCATTTGAGTATGGTCTAAACATGAGGCTCTACATGGCGGGGGGGATTCAGTTCAGGGCCTGAGTCCAGAATAAGAGCAAGATGCGATATTTAATCTGCATTCTCAGAAGGCCTGGAGGGCTCCATCCTTGACATCCGCAAATGTCCCAACTGCAGTTGCACAAACCCCATCGCTCTGCTGCCTCCCTACAAAGGAAACACTATTTTGCCCTGCCAACCTGGAAGCCAGGAAGAACAAAACAGCCAGCTGCACCTCACTGGGGGTTGGACTGAAACAAGCCCTGCAGCAAACACACACAGTAACACACAAACAGACAAACATGGCAAGCCACTGAATGCAGTCAGAAAATGAGGAAGACTGACATTTACATAAGCAGACAGTGACATATATTCAGCACAGCAGCTTGCATATGACTGCCAGTGAAGCGAAGGCAGATTATTGATGAATCACATTTCGGTTTGGAAAGTCCAAGCTTTGGTCTGCTAATGAAATCGCTTAATAACATTATTTCGCTAGCGTTGTGTTCCTCATATCCAGAAGTGAATCATGTTGTCAGTTTTATATTCCTCTTACATAGCCTATATTTTATCCCCATTCCCCTTCACTGTAAGCTGAGTAACATATTGCTGTTACAATGTTTTTCAAATAATATATATATATATATATATATATATATATATATATATATATATATATATATATATATATATATATTAAAGATGTTCTTTATGTGGAAAAACATAAGGGGATTTTTGAAACACATATTGTGCCATATCTCACCTACAGACCTTTTTCCTGAATTGTGTATCTTACAAGAGGACTAGCGGTTAGTTGAAGGGAAAAGGGAACAAGTTTATGATGTTAACAATCCAAGTACAAGCTAGGGGGATTTTTATGGGCTGGCAAATGAAGAAGAGCAAAGCATATTTCTGAGAAATGATTAAATTGCACATTCCTCTATTGTTCTCCTGTATGCGGAGCAGCGCCGTCACAACAGCGGCACCCTCAGGTTTCAGAGGGTATTGCAAGCAATTGAGGAGAAAAACAACTTTGATTGGCAGTACATCAGCATCACATCGCATAAATGGAGAAAGAGAAATCACTCGCACTTCCCAAAAGGCAAAAACTCTAGCATGAAGAAATGGTAATAAATGTTACATATTCCAGGGTCGTGCAGATTGTCGTGTCACGTCGTTTATGTTTGTAGCTACAAAGGGCTTTGTGTCCGCGCGACATGAGCTGCGAAAAATACGGCAGCGCTACAGACACATTACAGATTTTCATTTTCACAATGCCTATACACAAGCTTTGCAGGATGATAAAGCATGCAGTTAAATTAAAACTCAATACTAGAGGACCAAAAAAGAAAAAGGAGAAAAACACTAAATCGATTGTCTTCATGAGACACCTTTTAAATGACTCAACAAATGGCTCAGACATGACGGAGAGCGTCAAACCCACAAAACTTCAACATTCCACCATAAAAGCATATAGTCATGAAGGTTTACATCATTTCTTGAAATCCATAACCAGTAGGCTACTTAATCTGCACCAAAGGCTCCCAAGATTGTTCCAGACTGCAGTCTTAATTCCCCAAGAAGCTTAAATGTAGAATATCTCCAGCATTAACAGCAAAACGGCAGGTTTTTCAAATGCACATTGTACACTTTTAATAGTAGTCCAAATAATAGTTGCAATATGAAACAATGGCTATCTGAACTGGGCATATGCGCGATAAAAGGGGATAAAGCTGACCTTACTCTTTGCCATTTATAAATGCAATGGTCTTGCACAGCTTCTTTTAAGTACATGAAAAGCAATGTAACGTTAGGCGACAAAATAATGTCAAAGGATCAGTATTGTTATGCGAAACATGGGTTAGAGATGAAAGGCAGCACAAACGTCCTCAAAGTCAGATTAACTGTAAAACTGCAGCTTTACATCTTTGGTCTTGTCATAAATAAACTTTATTTCAGGAACAATTAATAAATAACACAATGAACAAGCGTTGAAATCTCGAAGTGTAGTTAACGTTATTGGTTGAAAAGTAGCGATCAGAAGAACAAAACCGACAAATGAAAGAAATCTTGATCCTTCCTGCACATATGTGAACCATGACATTCATGTAAGTTATGCTTAAAAATAACGGAACATATTTATGGCGATTAGTCTTTTCTTTTAAAGAGGGACTTTTGAATAGGCTATGTAACGTTAGGCTATTCAAAATGTTGCCATACGTATGCGATTGAGGAGCGTTTTAAACATGAACAGTAACTAGATGAACTGTCAACTTTCAAACTTCCCTGCAAGAGTCTAGATATGGTTAAGGTTTACAGTTAATATGTTCAATTCAGTGATGTTACCTGATTTTGAACAAACTGACACTGGGTTCCAAGGCGATAATCCATGATTTTCGTGCAGATGATCATTTTCCTTCCTGTAAGTGCATGAATGCGGCTCCTCTGGCTTTCTTGGTGCTTCTCACCGACTCGCTAACAAAGGCCAAGCCGCTATGATACCTACATGTCCGGACATACAGCTGCAGTATCAATGGGTGAAAAAAAAAATGTTGACAGACACGTCCAGTGATGTTGTCCAATCAGAGAGTTGGGAAGGTGGGTCTAAGAGTGGAGCAATGGCCAATCAACTTTCAGTACTGCTTTTTTTTTTTTTTTTTTTGTGTGTGTGTGTGTGTGTGTGTGTGTGTGTGTGTGTGTGTGTGTGTGTGTGTGTGTGTGTGTGTGTGTGTGTGTGTGTGTGTGTGTGTGTGTGTGTGTGTGTGTGTGTGTGTGACGGCTGTGTTTGTCCGACATCCGAGCCAATGAGCACTTTCATGTGGTGGAAAACTACCTGTCTGTTAAGCACGTAAGCCCGCCTACTTTCATGACGCATGAAGCCTGGCAACTGATTACAATATCGCACTGTGAGAATAACTTATAGCTTGTTGTGAATTGATTATTTGACCGTAATTTCCCTGGATCAAAACTAATTAGACATTCAAATGCTCAACATACAACATCATAATCTTACTGCTCAAGAGAAAGTGATTAATTCAAATTTGAAGCTCTACATAGGCTAATATTTATAAGAACATGTTAAAGTCGGTATGAAATAGAAGTTGAGTCTCTTCCCTGCTGTGACGTAGGTTATATACGAGTGAAACGGCTTCTCGAACAAGAAACAATATAGCGGGATTTGATTTGTCTACTGGGAATCGATTGGATCACTGTGGTTCATGTGACTGACAGGTTGTCCAGTCCCCGCGCCAGTAAACATGTCATCAAAGAAGAAAATGTACTTGGTTATCAATGTAATCTCGATTCTCTCTAGAAGAGGGAACAAGTACTGCCTTACGGTATAGGGGAAAAAACTCTTTTCAATGAGATATTGAAGCCAAAAATTATCCTTAATTTTGAATTAATGTAAAACGCATTGTGCTTGTCCTGCGGCAACTGCAGCAGCCTATTGAGAGAGGCTCTTGGTGACGCCAGATCCAATGGGGGCGCTTCGCACCCACTATGTCACCTCCTGCCAAAGTGGGTGTGGCCTGGCCCTATAAATATAGATCGATGGGCTGATATAATGTGTTTTTTCATTGCTGAAGCGAACCAGAGCATGTTGCAGGCACGGCAAAGATACACAGTACTCTAGTAGTTCTTCCAGAGAGAACCAAGGTTACTTTGGTAACCGAGAACTTTCTCTTATGAGAGATTCTCTCGTACTGCGTAATATCTTACGCAAGGGGAACACAGTGTAAAACGTTGTGTGTGCTGGGATCCAACACCAAAGTCCCAAGGACAGGTGCCTGGTAGTAGTGCATAATCACCAGGGACTCACAAAGAGTCTGAGAAGAGAGGCTAGAAGCGTCACAATAAGGGAGCTAATCACATTAACAGTGTTCCACACAGTGAGGGTGAAAATGTTCGGCCTGAAGTGTGTAACAGTATGGGTCTTCCTTTTGCCCATAGAGTAATTTTATCGATCAGCGAGCGATGCTCAAGCAGTTGTAGTATTCTGAGCCAAAGCAACAGGGCAGACAATAATGATTTTAGACTGAAAGTAGTTTAGCCTGTAAGGCGGGAACCTCTAGGTTCTAAAACCTTATAAATGTAGACGGGGAGACCCAGCCTATACCGCCAAACGATATCCTGCATGATAATCCTGCTAGACCAAGCCCACGACGAGGCCATGCCTCTTGTGCGCTCTAACACCTAAAGGACACTTCAAGCCTATCAACTATCCATCTGGATAGGCTCTGTTTCGATGCAGCTAGTCCCTTAGCAAAAATCTGCTAAATGAAAACGAAGAGCTGCTTGTCTGTCTGAAAACAGATGAGCGAGACACATGAGTTCTAATATGGTCCTGTGTTCTATGAGCTCCGAGTGTGATCGAGTTAGAATCAGCCAATCGTCCAAGTAGTTCAAAACTCGCATGGCCCGACGTTTCAGGGTGCGAGAGCCGCCTCCATGCATTGTAAATGTACGGGATGCTAGGGACAGGCCGAACGGACGGACTGTGTATTGATATGCCTGGCCTTTGAAGGCGAATCTCAAGAAACGCCTGTGACGTGACGCTATTTGTATTTGGAAATATGTGTCCTTCCAATCTATTGACATAAACCAGTCCCCTTGGCAATTCTGCACAAGGATTTTCCTGGTTGTGAGCATTCTGAACTGGCAGTTCACAAACACTTTGTTCAGCTGTCTTAGATCTAGAATGGGTCTGAGACCCCCATATTTTTTCGTTACCAGAAAATATCTGCTGTATACACCCCCTTCGCTCTGAGCTTGAGATAAAAAGGACTTTAAGCAACAGCTGTTGATAGAACGGCAACGGCAGACGGAAGTAAACAGTTAACTGCCGTAGCTAAAGAGCGCAAACATCACAAAGCAACAGTAAAGAGGACGGCATAGGGGATAATTTAATCATAAGACTAAATACAAAAAGAAAGCGATTTTAAAAAGTAAGAGAAGGGTTGATTTTGGCATTTAATGATATACAGAAATGATTACAATGCCACATAACCTAAACCATAACATTAACGTTCTTATTCTGTCACGTAGTAACGACTACGGCAAATCAGCTGTTCTCCCGTAGTAGACGGTTACAGTAGAACGTCGCGAAGGAGCAGTTAATGTCGCGCATGCGCAATAGACCGAAAGAATGCCGTTGCCGTTCCACCAGAGGCTGTTGCTTAAAGTCCCTAAAGGCTCTATTGCCACTTTGCTCAATAAATTCGCTATTTCGACTCTAAGTAGATGGGCTACTCCGGTTTTTACCGTAGGTTCAACCCACGCCGTGTAGTGGCGGGGACTTTGACTGAACTGCTGCGAAAGGCTTGAGAGCCTCTTTTTAGAATGTTCAGCACCCATTCTGATACCCCGGGAAGCTTTGCCCTCGCATTTGCATGAATAGCTAAGGGAAGAATGAGATCTGGGTTCTGGCTGCAACATAGTGGCGACAGGAGAGCTTTGGTGTGTCTGAAACGTAAACACTGTGCTTGCAGCGTTTGAGGCGGGGAGTGCGGTGATCGCAGTGGGCAGCCTGGCTGCACTCGATTCCCTTGTAGTAGTTTGCTGAGAGAGAGCGAGCGGGGCGAGCCCTGTGAGGCTCAACATTTCTGTGAGTGAATGTGGGCGTGGGACGGCGGGCATATTTACTGCACTGAAAACACCGTCTGCCTGAGCTGATGACTGTATGTGTGTCACCATGGCAACAGCTCGCAATGATGGCAGCCGCCGTCAGAGAGTGCGAGAGCTGCATGATCCTTACCCAGGCAGGAAACGCAGATGAAATGGCGGTCACAATCGCTGGGTGCGGCTCGGCATGAGCCATAGGAACGAGGCGTCTTTAAAAAGACGCTGCTCTTTTAGACAGAGAGAGAGAGTGTGAGTCGCAGCGAACACACTCGGCAGAGTAAAAAAGATAAAAACACCGGAAAGTGTAGCAGGTACGGTGACTGAAGGCGGCGAGATGAAGGCCAGCGCCTTCAGATGCAAAGGCTCGACCTGCAGAAAGCTTTTCTCAGACGGCTTCTTCACTCCGGATCCAGCGATGTGTGTGCTTCGCTGAAGAGATAAAAATTAAATTATATCAGCCCATCGAGCTGTATTTATAGGCCCAGGCCACGCCCGCTTTCGTAGTGGGCGTGAAGCGACCCCATTGGATCTGACGTCACCAAGGGCCTCTCTCGATAGGCTGCTGCAGTTGCCGCAGGACAGCCAATAGGCTTGAGCACCGCCTTGCCTATATGTCTGCATGCTGCTGCAACGCGTTTTACATTAATTCAAAAATAAGCATAATTTTTGGCTTCATATCTCATGGAAAAGCATAAGATATTTCTCAGTACGAGAGAACCTCTTGTAAGATAATCTGTTGCAAGAGGGAGGGGAATTTATTTTGATTAAAAACTTGCACGTATGAAGTATCCAATATCATTTTTAAAATAGAAATAATTTATGGTTCCTATTTTCTTCCAGACAGGCAGAGTTTGAAGTCTGCCCGGATGAATAATGGGAAAGACGGTGCAAACAAACTTGTAATTCCACGAGTCTTTTATTGTTGCTTTCTTTCATTTAAGCACACTCTTCACATGCATGAAATTGGACCATAATACACAAGAAGACAATTCTTGTAGTTGGTGAATACAGCAGTCCCATCACTAACTCATGAGGTCTATTTTTTTATATACATTTTTATATATTTATACAAAAAAAAATACAAACAAAAAAAAATACACAATATGACAAAAGTGCTTATTCAACATGCGATGTCCTCTAGTTCTGTTCCCCTCAAATCAGGGTGATCTTAACAAAAGCCTTCGGGCTCTCATTGTCTGGACTCCTACAACATATGAATAGGCTCTTGTTTTGGTAAAGGTCTTAAGAATGCAGTCCAATGCTGTTAAACTAAGATAATTTGTTTTTACTTTGGATGTGATTAGATCCTACATTGTAAGTGCATCAGACCTGACCCCAGACACTGAAAATGTCATCTCATTTTTTTATTGATGTTTGTTTGTAAAATTAGCATTGCAATCTTCCAATAAAATATTTTTTACCATGTTTCTCTAAAGGGGGGTGGAAGGGTGAAATAACAAATATTTTAGTTGTTATCACTGCGAGGGCTTGGAGCCAGAGGGGTTTAAACTGGCTTTTGACAAACTTTACAAGAGAGACAAAACCAAAATTTTGACCACACTTCAATCACCTTATTAACCTTAAAGCACACACATTGCAACCACAGGCATACTTAAATGAATGAGTATTTAAGTAAAAAATGTAAGAAGCAAAAACGTCAGATAACACCTTTTTGGCATTTCCAAGTCTTCTATGGGCATATCTGCTGAACAATGCAGAAAATAATTGGACAAAAGAGGAATTGAATAATTAACACTAGAATAACACTTGAACAAGTAATTCATTTTCCCGTAAGACCTTCCTTCATCTTCGGAACATAAATTAAGATGTTTTTGATTAAATCTGAGAGCAGGATCACTCCTCCGGCTTCTAGGGGATTAAAACTTGCTGGCCCAGAAAAGTTATTAAAGACACTGTTAAAATAGTCCAAGTGACAGTAGCTCAACCTTAAGTTTATCAAGCGACGAGATTCACTCAAAGGAAAGGAATTCAAAAACAACTCTGACTCATCTTTATCTTTTTTGATTCATCAGTTTGTTTTATAATATTCATCAAAATCTTTTCTGCCTCAGACAGTTCCATGTCTACAGTTGTGTCAGCCATTTTGAACGCTGTTTTAGGGCACTAAATACACTTACACCCTTCTGGCTCTGAACAAAAACGTGGATCCTACATGTATTTTTCAGAGCCAGAAGGGCAAGTGGAGTTACACCCTTCTGACTATAAACATTACTCACACTTTTGTGTTAGATCTCTATTGTTTTGTTGCTTCATTCAATACAGTTTTATTGCAGTCTTTTTGGCACCATTTGGATAGAGCTCATCGAGACATTTATTTTGATATCAAGAACTCACATTCACCAAAAATGCCACTTACGCTCCTCTGGCTCAACGGCCTCGACTGTTTCATTGTCTGAGCAAAATGAAACAAATGGGACAGAATGTGGTATTAATTTTCTGATGTTGTAAGTGAGAGTTTGCTGTTGTGTTTACACAAGAATGTTTACTCAAGAACATGGTAAATAGAATTTATGAAATCTCTTAAAAGTGTTGAAAGTGTGTTAAAGCACACTGCACAAATCACATTTTGTTTTGTTAATCAAAGTACATTCTCCTAAATGGTGCACTGTAAACTAATACAAGCCTCTTTTACTCTATCTCAAGCAGAACAACCAGTCAATTCAGCTGCCTCACTCTTCTGGATCCCTCAAAAGTGCCAGTTACTGCATCATAAGTACTGAGGGTGACCCAGAGTGCAGCGAATGCTTAAAAAACAAGATCCTCTGTCCCACAAGGAGAAGGGACTTGTGTTCCTGCGTGTTAACAGTGAATAGCAGATTTCTGAAAAGACAGAAACTCACAATGGCACAACTTGATGCAGGAAGCAATATAGAACAATATTTACAAATGTAGTTTACATTTATTTAAAATATTAATTAACATGCTTATACTTTTAATATATATATATATTAAAAAAAGGTTTTCATTTTCAACATCTAAAATGGCATGCTTTAATATAGGATGCTTTTATTTTCACTGCTAATCATTTTATGACTTTCTCCAAAGTACAACCACAAGGGGGCAATTTAAAGAACTTTACTTTAAAGGTTATAGTTTTTAAAATGGTATCATTTGAAATATTGTAGTTTTCTGTCTGACTTTACAGTATAATTATCTTTGAAGAGACTTAGGATTTCAAGAGAGCTATAGTAAATACAATTAGAACATTGGATTGAACTTGGAAATGGTACTTCCCTTTTATACCAGCCTCCTCCACAAACATCTCATAAAAACTATTTACACACACACACACACAAACACATGAGCAGGAATGCTGATATCTAATTATGAGAACTTAAAATGTACAAAAGAAGCCCTATGAAACTACATGGTTGTTCACACAAGGGGAAGTGAAGCATTACGTATTGAGCACAGACAGACAGCTGCAAACTTCAGTTTGTAGAAAGGCAGTTTCAGTTCTGTACTGTCAATTACATTCAATCTCATCACACATTTTCACTATCCTTTCTATGTACCTTCCAGAAAAACTGACATTTGACAACCAGGGCTTTAAAGAAAAAGAAAAAAAACAGCCAGGAGGTATGTGTGCGGTACAACATCAGGGAGGATGTCACAAAAGATTATAATGGCCATAGACGGTAAAACCACTAACTGGCATTTCACCCACTCGTTCCTGTCTAATGGCTGCATTCCGCCCACAGTGTGCTCTGGTGAAATGCTGAAAAGGAAAAATCTATGTGCTGAGTAACACATCATAAAGTTCCTTGCACCTGCAGGGCCTACGTACGTTTTGCTGAAAGTCTGCAGCTGCATGGATGAGAGACATACAAGATACTGATCTTGAATTATATTTCAAGATATCATCATGCCTCTGGCATAAAACTTATTGCAAAAATACACCCACTCCATCAGCATTCAGACAGGTTGATTGCTTACCAAATATAGATCCCAGCATTAAAGGTTGTGCAGTAAATACACACACCAACCTATAAATATTCCCTCTTAGATTCTCTCTCAATTTGTACCCAGCTGGGAAAAGCTTGGTAACAAACAGGTATTCATACTAACCAATCACAGGCAAGACGATGACCTCATCTGTTGCTTAATTGCAAGGGACCAGTGGAAAATTCCAATGTTTTTTAAAAAAAGAACAATGAAATAAAGACAGACAGACAGATTCGGTATATATACACTCACCTAAAGGATTATTAGGAACACCATAGTAATACTGTGTTTGACCCCCTTTCGCCTTCAGAACTGCCTTAATTCTACGTGGCATTGATTCAACAAGGTGCTGAAAGCATTCTTTATAAATGTTGGCCCATATTGATAGGATAGCATCTTGCAGTTGATGGAGATTTGTGGGATGCACATCCAGGGCCCGTTCCACCACATCCCAAAGATGCTCTATTGGGTTGAGATCTGGTGACTGTGGGGGCCATTACAGTGAACTCATTGTGATGTTCAAGAAAACCAATTTGAAATCATTCAAGCTTTGTGACATGGTGCATTATCCTGCTGGAAGTAGCCATCAGAGGATGGGCACATGGTGGCCATAAAGGGAAGGACATGGTGAGAACCAATGCTCAGGTCGGCTGTGGCATTTAAACGATGCCCGATTGGCACTAAGGGGCCAACACCACCACCACCAGCCTGCACAGTGGTAACAAGGCATGATGGATTCATGTTCTCATTCTGTTTACGCCAAATTCTGACTCTACCATCTGAATGTCTCATCAGAAATCGAGACTCATCAGACCAGGCAACATTTTTCCAGTCTTCAACTGTCTAATTTTGGTGAGCTCTTGCAGATTGTAGCCTCTTTTTCCTCTTTGTAGTGGAGATGAGTGGTACCCGGTGGGGTCTTCTGCTATTGTAGCCCATCCGCCTCAAGGTTGTGTCTTCACAAATGCTTTGCTGAATACCTCGGTTGTAACGAGTGGATATTTCAGTCAAAGTTGCTCTTCTGTCAGCTTGAATCAGTCGGCCCATTCTCCTCTGACCTCCAGCATCAACAAGGCATTTTTGCCCACAGGACTGCCGATTAATGGATGTTTTTCCCTTTTCACACCATTCTTTGTAAACCCTAGAAATGGTTGTGCGTAAAAATCCCAGTAACTGAGCAGATCGTAAAATACTCAGACCGCCCCGTCTGGCACCAACAGCCATGCCACACTCAAAATCGCTTAAATCACCTTTCTTTCCCATTCTGACATTCAGTTTGGAGTTCAGGAGATTGTCTTGAGCAGGACCACACCCCAAATGCATTGAAGCAACTGCCATGTGATTGGTTAATTAGATAATTGCATTAATGAGAAATTGAACAGGTGTTCCTAATAATCCTTTAGGTGAGTCTCTCTCTCTCTATATATATATATATATATATTAGACAGATTTGCATTGAAACATTATTTTACAGAAATTCCTTCCCTTTTACTTCCCTTTCATCCTCCAGCAAAAGGATGTACCTGAGTTTTATATAGTCATTGTCATAACTTTTTAATCTCCTACTGAAAAGATGAAAAGTAATACAGCATTTCTGATGAACATCATGTCTGTAATTTGAATGAATTAAACTCGGACTCAACATTAAGAAAGAGCATGAAGACTGATGTGATGGCATTTTCTCAGTTCCTGTTCTTCTTCCTGTCCCCAGTGTGGCGCTGGACTTCATCACCGGCATTTACAAGCGTAACTTTCTTGCGCCTTTTAGTCTGCACAGCCACATGAAAACAACAAACAAGATTTGATTATTGTTCACATAAAGTTATATTACCAGTTGTTTTACAGGTATGTCTGTGTATGTCTTACAGTGAATATCTGGCCACATACAGTAAATGTGACCCTATTTTTTTTTAAACATTGCGGCTGAATACTGAATTTAAAGCTGAATACCGGTAATACAAAATTTAGGTGGCAGAGCAGGTTAACGAATACGAGAGAACGGTGAAGTTCAGATGTGGCTCTAAGATACTCACGATTTTAAGCAGTGCTTCATCACTGATTCCCATTGATGTAGCCTCCACAAAACGAAGCTGCTTCAGACGAGTTTTCTCATGATTGTCAATCTGAGTCTGCAGAGTCTCTGGAAGTCATAGTCATTACAAACACATTAACAAACAACAGTGTACCAGCAATATAAAATACAGTGCAACCGCAACATAAGATAGCTCAAACAATAATAAAATTGTAACTTTTAGACTAATATACAGAAAAAAAGTATTTTTATCTAAACATGAATTTGCATCATATTCAACAAGTTAGTATTATCTCAAGTTAATTTCATCTATATTCTCTGAAAACAATGTAGGATATTAGTTATCTTTCAAAAAAAAAAAAAAACTTCTTAGCTAAATATATATTATAACACTGATTAAAAATATATATTTTTGCAGTGTACAAAATGCAATGGCACCTTTCAGACCAGAGTGAACATTGGATAGTAGAGAAGTGACTGAAGTATAAGCCCCATCAGACGTACCTGTAAACACACACACACACACACACCCCTGACTGTTACTTTAAAAATACACAAACTATTATCTTCAGGTTATCAATAAACATAATGAAAAACTCAAACTCACGCTTAATAATGCAAGCGGTGAATGACTCTCTAGCCTTTAGCAGTCCACAAGCAGACTTCTGTGAATTCTGGGGCACAAAGAGGAATTTCAACTCTCCTTGTTCATCACACAGGTCTATGAGCTCTGAAACACACACACAGACAAGGTATATTGTTTCAAACACATGTAATAACTGTCATATAATACGTGTTAACGGCCTCTTTACAACATTTTAGAAGCGCAGAGACGTGTTAGGGAGGAGGACAGTGTTAATGACTGTGGTAATGAGCACTCCATTAGTGATGGGCTGATCCGGGCTAATGTCCCTTATACATGCCACAGATGTAATCGGACACCGTTGTAGGAGTATGTGTTAAGAGAGAGTGTGAAATATTAACGCCTGAGATCCGTGACCTCCTGCACAGAGGTCACGCTGAGTTTGAAAGAGCAACCTCCTCTGACCTGAGATCTATGTCAAGTAACCTACTCTTGATGTGGAATATTCACAACAAAAGCACATGACTGAAAGTATCTTCAGATTTTGTAAGATTCTGTTCAATGAAAGTGTCTGAAACTGGGATAAAAGTGCATATAGTTTGACTGATTATGTATTTTGATTATCCACATAATCTTGATGTATGAGAGAAAGCATGGAGAGAGCTGGACATACCTGACTCAGCAAGTTGCAACCGAGTTTTCATGTACTGCATGAGGACAACAACTGTACAATTGGTGTTGACCATGAACTGGTCATTATCTAAATACACAAGAATCACATTGATCAGCTCTTTGAAATAAACTGACCAAATAGAGAAATAAAACAATTTGTGTAGATAGAAATCAGATTTACTAAAGTTACTAAACGAGATATAGATCTAAAACAAACACCAGTGCATTTATTGTAAGGATATTTAAACAAGTTGATTAATAATTGTGATCCTTACCTCCATGTTTAATGTAAATAAACATTGTGGCAGAAAATAACTTCACAGGAACCTCAGTCTACTGTTCAGTTTTAAAGATGCTGCCTGCTGTAACTTAGCTGTGCTAACAAATTAGTGACACAGCAGACAGAGTAACATTATCATCAAGACTGTGATGTCACAATGACACGGAATCATTCGATTAGGGAAACATTCAAGCAAGAAAAACAACAATAATATGAATAATCAAAAGTTTTTATCATCTGTTCAACAAGTTACAAAACTTAAAAGGCACATTTATTAAATATAATGTGCATACCCAACCAATAAAAACTGTCACATAAGTAAATTTGAATGGATTTTGTAATATCTTATTGTTTTCTCAGAACTTTTCTCAGAATGGCTTTTCTGTGCCATTTTTGCGATTCTTAGGGGATTTATAAAGTCAGTTTTCTTTAAGTTCATCGTTAGAAAGAGTACAAATACCTGTAGTCTTAACTTGAAACAATACATATAGTTTTAGAATGAAAAACCTAAATATACCCAGTTTATATTTAAAAATATATATATTATTTTGAACTATTTTATTCACCACCCCCAAAAAAAAAAAAAAAAAAAAAAAAAAAAAAAATCTGTTTTCACAAAAATATTAAGCAGAACAATAATTGTATTGGTAACACTTTACAATAAGGTTCATTAGCATTAGTATTAGTTAGCATGAATTAATAATGAACAGCACTTATACAGCATTTATTAAGCTTTGTTAATGTTCATTTCAACATTTACTAATACTTGATTAAAATCTTGTTAACATTAGTTAGTGCACTGTGAACTAACATGAACAAACAATGAAAAGCTGTATTTTTATTAACTAACGTTAAATATTATTAACAAATAAAGAAACAAATGTATTGCTCATGGTTAGTTCATGCTATTAATAGATTAATGCTAGCAAATGTGACCTTGTTGTAAAGTGTTACCATTGTTTTTAACATTAAATCAGAGTGATTTCTGAAGGATCATGACACTGTAAACTGGAGGAATGATGCTGAAAATTTACAAGAATACATTTTAAAATAAATTAAAATAAAATAGAGAACAGTTGTAATAATACTTCACAATATAAACTTGCATAAAATGAGATACAATGGTAAAAAGTAAATGTGCAGAAAACGGACATTAAAATGTAGCTTGTGAACATGTATACAGTAAGAATGAGATGACCTGTTCTTTGTCTGTTTTTAAAACCTGACTTAACCCTAAAACAGTATTCTGGACAAATGTGGGCAAAATAGTTTTGATTTATTTAAAAAAAAAAAAAAAAAAAATACTTTCCTAAGTTTGCCTCCTGAACACACACAATTTTTTTGACTCAATTTTACAATGTTAAGTGGGTGAAAAAAAAAAACTCCTTAATCTTGTATTTGGGTCAAAAATGGGCACCCCTAGAAATGAATGGGAAAAACTGTAATTTAGAGCATTCTAAAATAAGCCAAAATAAGACACCAGATGACAGCAAAGTCACTTCATCTTTAGGTTTTAAGAACTTATTGGAATGATATTTTAATGTAGTTAAAAAAATAAAAATAATAAAACATAAAAATAAGCATAATTTACATAGTAAATATGGTACTTTTTGAAGTAAATAAATTCAAAAATACAAAAAAACAAAAAAAACAAAAACAATAAAAGGACAGACAAAACTTTATCGAAGCCAGTGATATAAAATTTATAATAAATAAAAATTAGAATCACACCTAAGTCCTCTGTGCCCACATTTGTCCAAAATTACAGGATTAAGGGCTATTAAGTGAATACGGTTTGAGGGCTACAACCCATCTTTTCTCTGTGGCCTTTGACACCTAGCAAGATGTCGATTTTATTTACTCGTTTTTTTTCTGATTTTGATTGCCTTTATAGCGTGGCTAATGTTTGTACTCACGTTTATCTTGTTTGATTTTAATTTTGCTGTATGTAATTTATATGATTCTATTTTTTTCTATACAGCACTTTGGTTGTTTAAAAGTGCTTAAATAAAGTTGGATTGGATGACAGTCCAGGTGAATGACTTATGAGCTCTGCTGTTCTGCAGGCTCTTCTTCTTCAGTGCTCGGTTCATCACACTTGTCGGTTTGAGAAGCGGGACTGGACACAGGAGTAGGACCGGCGTCACAAGGGGACTTTACCTCAGACACATCGCAGGACAGCTCTGTGTAGTCTGGCTCAAAGGCTTCCTTCAGCTCTTTGGAGATGTGAACCCAGCTCTGAGAAGAAATTGAGAGGGTTTCAAAGCACATTTACTCATGATTTACACACAGAAATACAGCACAGAGAGTAAAAAGGTTGAATACCTCAACATTTCCATCATGTTTATAGAACAAATCCTGTAGGTTCTTGCTAGGGTCGGGCACAACTGGAAGCAAGATGATTCTTTTCCTATATAATATGGATTTGATTTTTTTTTATTACATTATTTAATACAATAAAGATGGATTAATATTTTAGATGGATAGATACTGAGTGAAATCTCTTAAACATCCCTCACCTCTCGCAAAAGTACAATAACAAACCCAGCAACAATAGCAGAAAGACCGACAGAATACCACTCAACCACTGCCACCAGCCTTGTCTGCTGACGTTCTCTAGAAAACAGAGTAGCAGGATTGAAATATATAAAATGGCAAATGAGAGCAAATCTCTCCGTGTCCCGCACTGTCCCACCTGCATTGCCCCACTCCACTGGAGCGCTCCAGTTACTCCAGAGATCTGAACGACCACAGTATTCATCAACAGAGCTCCGGACTTGGAAAACATAGTGCTTGTTCTTTGAGACCTGAGAGAGACTGAATGACTTTCCCATCACTTTTGACAGCTAGGAAAAAAGAGAGATGGACATGAGAAGACAGTTGGTAGAATGAATGTAAAATGGTCATAATATTGTATCATCGATCTCACCTGGTTTGCGTCTTTCTGGTTGCTTACAATGCGCACCATATAGACTGCACACTTTTTTGTGAGGGGGGCACTGCTGTCCCACTGTAGTAAAAGCGTGCTGTTGTGCTCATTCCACATCAAGGACAGGTTATAGGGTGGATTTAGCAGCACTAAACAAATATATGTACAATAACAAACAAGAGAGTCTTTAGTTTGGAAGGAATCAGTTACGTCAGAAAATGTACAATAGACTCATCTAGTATAATACATAAAGGGATAGAGTCATTATAACAAAATAAATCCCTTATGAGGATATATATATAGTAACTAGCACAGCTGAAATCTGTTCCCTGGCACAAAAGCCTAAAGATTGTTGGTCAGTCTTAATAAAAAAAAAATTGTCAAAAGAATGATTGCCCAGTCAGAAGTGAAAAATAACTGTTTTCTATTTCAACATATTTTAAAATGTAATCTATTCCTGAGATAAAGCTGAATTTTCACATGATACTTCATAAATCATTCTAAAATGCTGTTTTGCTGCTCAAGAAACATTTCTTATTATTACCAATGTTGAAAAATGCTTAATATTTCTATAGAAACTGATGCAAATTTTTCAGGATTCTTTGAAATTTCAAAAGAACAGCATTTAAAAATCTTTATAACATTACAAATATCTTTACTGTCACTTTTGATTGGTAGTTAGTTTGTTGACACACCATTGATACACTGCAAATCTGTTTGTTTTCTTACCATTTCTCCAGAGGGAATCAAAACGTGTTTTAATAGTGTGGTTTCCTTCAGTGAATACAGTTGTTTCAAGTGGCTTTTGGCTTTTGAGCTCATGGCTTTTGAGATGAATTCTGCAGCCTATAGTGTAATTGTGCTCTAAGATGTACTCTGTACAGTCATGGGAGGCGTTGATTGTAAATCTGACAAAGTAAATTTTACAAAGTAAAAATCTAATATTATTTCTCACTCATCGATTATTACCACAAGACAATATTCAACATACAGCATGTCCCAAAACTACATACATAGATGTATTGATGATGAATATGAGTAAGATGGGTTGTGGGAGACTTACCCACTGCTGAAGGTGTAGTTCGCTGTTGATGTGTTTGGGTGCCAGATGCACTCCACATACTCGAGGTTGATGATCTTACACTGCACACCTACACGGGCCAACATGTTTCCAAAAATATCATGTAACAATTCACAAATTTAAAATGTTTTTTTTTTTTTGTCTTGAACTTTTTATTGTCAAACCGTTTCCAGTAACCCACACAGAGAGAATGCTAATCAGTCTCAGAATCACAAACCTCAAGAGCATCATCATAATCATACACACAAAAATGACATCCACAAGAAAAACGAGGAAATCCCCACTGAAACCACCCAAACATAGCTCTCAAACTTTTTGTCTTTTAAAAGACAGAAACTAAAAGCAAACGAACTATCAGAATCCTTTTTTACAAACTGTTTTTTTTCAGTGAAGATTATATTCCCAAACTTGTAATAATAACTCGTAAAGGTTTGTGTACCTTTATAATGCCATTAACCAAAAAACGTGGTGCAGTACAATGTTGTGTGTAATTGTATACTTACTCAGAGCGGCTTCTGAACTGCATTGTTGAAAGGACAAAATTAACAACAGAAGCCCAAAATATAGTCTTGATGTGTGAATGTAAGTCATGCTCTCCTGTGAGCGTCAGAGCAACAAATGAGTGAGGTCTGATACTACACAGGATGTTCATCACAGCATGTTTCCTTGACAGCTTCCGGTTCTTCAAGTATAATATCTTAATAGACAATAGAAGTCATGAGGGAAAAAAATAGATATAATCAAATGTATTAAATATTTTATTAGTGATTACAATGATCAGAAATTTTATAAAAATAATAATAATGTTTTATTAATCAAAATAATATATTTTTCAGTTTTAACAATTGACTTTTTTTATATTTTAACACAAATAACTATTTATAAAAAAAATTTTTTAATACAGCTGCATTTGACTCTCACCACTATGGTGTCTGTACTAATATTATTCAACCCTTCAGTGCATATATCATTGAAGGTCAGTTATTAGTTTGGTAAAAACAGTTCTTCTCAACCAAAGGGTCCAGTGCAGGTATTTCCGTTAAAACAGATTCATCCTCAGCCCAAATTGGCATGGGTATTTGGCAGGGGTCAAGAGATGGTGCTTAAACAAGTCCGACGGCTTTATCTAAAAAGTTGGCGAAGTTCTGCGGTTGACCAGGCTCATAGGTTGTCAAAGCAGACAGATCCATATCCCTCAAGGTCTGAGGCAGGGTACTGTGATAATGGGTTAAAAAAGTACAAACATGGACATTTGCCATCAGCACATCAAATTTAACCATTACAATATTAATATTAACCACTAAAATGGTTGAAAAACGTGAGCGACTTCTCATATAAAACAAACCTGCAAGTGCAGTAGATAAGATGTGACTCTGCCTGCAGCTGCTTTGCGAGCTCCAGCTGATGATTGTCCATTAATTTATCATTGACCACAACGAGTAGAGGTTTATTTGCTCCGAGTGCTTCCAAACAGCTTCCTGCTCCTAATGGGGATAGAGCCGATATTAAGACTTAAAGGGATACTCCACTTTTTTTTTGGAAATAGGCTCATTTTACCACTCCCCTAGAGTTAAACAGTTGGGTTTTGCCATATTTGAATGTATTCAGCTGATTTTCTGATATTTAGAAGAATATCAGTAACCAGACAGTTTGACTTCCATAGTATATTTTTTTCCTATTATGGAAGTCGATGAGACCAGAAACTTTCTGGTTACTGATATTCTTTTTTAATATCAGAATATCAGCTGAATGGATTCGAAAACAGTAAAAATCAACTGTTTAACTCTGGGGGAGTGGTAAAATGAGCCTATTTCCAAAAAAAGTGGAGTATCCCTTTAAACTCATTTCTAATCTAGGGTATACCTTTTTGTTATATAGCCTAGGTAATTATGAAGTCCACAACTAATTATATTACAAAAGTGTCTGCTAAATGACTAAAAATATGCCATGGACCCCTAAGAATAATCATCCTTGAGCGAGGGACCCCCACCCATGAAATTTAAAAGCATCTATAAATTTTCAAGTATAAAGACGTAAATGAAAATGTATATTATAAATATGTGTAAAATATTCTCCACCCATTATACTATACTGTTATATATATATATATATAATTTGTTTATTGATTAATTCAATTAATTTTGCCAACTTAATCCATTATTTTTTTATTTTATTTCAATACTTAATTGTGATGATATTCATATGATATATATCATATGATATTCATATTCGTCAATATAAACTACAGATCTTGATGTTACTGATCTGATGGTTGGTATAACGTGTTACCTTAAGTTGCTTGCCCCTCATTTATGTTTTAACTAAACTGTTTCTCAGAATAGTGTTTGGGGCACAGGGAGATTTAACCCACCAGCATGACTGATGACCAGGTCTGAGTGTCTCATGTCATCAACGATTGAGTCTTTGAAGCGAAACACTTGTAGTGTCAGTCCAGGACAGCTGTCTAGATTAGGCACAACTGAACCTCTGCCAACCTGAAGCACCATGTCTGTGTAGCCACGGTGAATGAGTGCCTTCATTCACAAACATAAACAGGACATTTTTCATTTAAAAATCTCGCGGATTATTGCAAATAAAACTGACGCACAGCACAGGTAACTGTAACAGGAACTCATTTGTGTCATTCAGTTTACGCCTCCCGTCATGCAGCTCACTATTTATGAGTGGTTTATTACCTTTACAGAGTCATCTGAAGTCACAGTGCCAATAAGATCATCAAAACTTGTTGTCCCGACAGTTACAAATACAGTTCGCATTGTATAAGTGTGGCTTTACTAAATGTCACAAAAATCAGCCTAAAAGAATTAAACCAGAAATCGTGAAGGAAACATAAGCATGAAAATTCTCTTCACCCTTCAAAATAAAAGTCCGACTGGTTTATAATTGCACTTGTCATAGTTATCTCAAAGTATTTACATTAGATTTTTCAAAGGTGATTTGCCTCCAAAATTAAAATAAAAATGTATACATCAGAAGCTATATTGATGAAAGCAAACAAACAATAATAAAAGCCTAATCATGGACCTTTTCCTCTTATAGTAATTTACTGCACATCTCATTACCATCCATCTCAAATATTATTATTATTTTTTTAAAATATGAAAATCATTCTGTTATCAAAGTATTACAACTAGTTGAACATAGGGGAGATCATTTTAAATAATTTCACGATTTTCTAGCATTTTTTATTTATTTATAGAAATATGTCCCTAAAACAAATGCATATAAAATGTACAGAGCTCAAAAGGTAATGCTTAACACAAATGTCTCACAAAATGATTACAGCCTTTTATACTAACTTATTTAGCACCCTTTAATGGTTCTATTCTTTCTTTTTTAATTCTCTAAATCTGGCAATCCAAGGACATTCAAATGACTCCCGAAGCCACCCCAGTAATGAAGTCACAGGCCTTTAAGATGTGTCTTTTTGTCAAGTCATTCTGCCACAGATATCTAATCAAGCGCTGGACATGGTCACCATTCCAACAGGTTTTCCCATCTCCACACAGAATGCTGCAGCTGTTACAGTAGCCATTACTTTCTTGCCCATCTACCTGACCAAAGGCCTTATGTACAGACAGCAAGTGATTTCACATGTGTTCAATTACTCAAAGGCTTTCTCTTTTTGTTTTTAAAGGAGTAGTTCACTTTTAAAAAAAACGTTTGCTGATAATTTACTCAGCCCATGTCATCCATGATGTCCATGTCTTTCTTTCTTCAGTTGAAAAGAAATTAAGGTTTTTGATGAAAACGTTCCAGGATTTTCTCCATATAACTTCATTGGGAACCAAACGGTTTAAAGTCCAAATGAGAGTTTCAGTACAGCCTCAGAGGGCTTTAAACGACACCTGAATAAGGGTATTATCTAGGACCCTTCGAATCATGACATGAAAAAAAAAAAAGATTTTTAATTTTGATGAACGAGTTTAAACAGGAGAGTCACGAATGCTCATCACAGAACAGAGCAAGGTGAGCATTTGTGCTTATAAAACTTAAACTTTTTAATTTATTTTTTAAATGACCGATCGTTTCGCTAGATAAGACCCTTATTCATCGTCTGGTGTGGTTTAAAGCCCTTTGAAGCTGCACTGAAACTCACATTTGGACCTTGAACCGTTTGGTTCCCATTGAAGTCCATTATATGGAGAAAATCCTTAATTTCTTTTCAACTGAAGAAAGAAAGACATGGACATCTTGGATGACATGGGGGTGATTAAATTATCAGCACAAGTTTTTTGGTTTTTTTTAAGTGAACTACTCCTTTAAATGCAGCATTTAAAATACTTTCAGGACCCACATAACACGCAAACAGTGTCCTTCTTCAAGCACATCACGAGATCCCAAGTTTTCAGACATTGGGTTTTCTGCCACAATAAGACAGATTGTTGAAAACTGATAATGGCTGATTTCCAGGCAAATTAAAGGTCATTATGAAAAGCCTATTGTGAGGTATTGCATGCATCAATTTCAAGTTCTTTATTTAGTTGCTTCGGTTTAAATGTCTCAAAAATGTCATTGATTAGCGACTTTGGCATTTGTCCATTTTATGTGTTTACAGTTTTAAGAGCAAAGAGTTCTATTTACATTACAGTGACTTAACATTACAAGTTTCTATAGAAGCAGTGGTGGAAATGTGTGTCAAAAACAAAGATTACAAGAAAAGAAAGACAACACAGGTTGTAGACTGTAATCATTTAAGGCATCATCAATGCTGTACTTCAGAAACAACGCATACTGTAGTCACAAAAAGCCAAAACAGCCAAAAGAATATAAAAACGCAATATCCATCTATCTCGGTAATTAAAGACTTTAATAAATAGAGTATTAGGAGAGAAAGCATACATACCAGTAGTTTAAAAAAAAAAATCAAAAGGGGGAAAAAAAGAAAAGAAATGTTACATACTGAGGTCTCAAACCTGCATAATGGCTGTTACAGTTTAATAATTAGATATCAAACTTAATATGTTAAAAGAAAAAACAGGGGACATTAACAACAGAGCTTCTCCAGGGATATTATAGCCCTGAGCTGACCTGCTCGTCATAACTTTCCCCTATATACGAAAAATAGCTATTAATAACCCAAAAGTTTTCTGTGCTCCAATTCACAGACTGTACTTATTTCCAGGTAACCAAAACATAACTTGAAGATATTGTATATGTGCTCTCAGACCCTGGAGGATTTGAATTTTGAAGACCCTGCGATGATTTATTTGCGGGCAGTAAAGTCAAGCCTCGGCCAGATGTCTTAAGTGTCAGAGTTCAAGGGGCTCAGTGGCACAGGTGTGGCTCAAAGGGTCATCCGATCAGAGACTGGTTCAAAAGAGCGTCCGTCTGGATCATGTGTCTAAGGAACACAGAAAGGAAAGAATGTGCTGTGGTTACCAGAAATACAACATCATATAGCATTATGTGTATAAACGATACAATGGATTTTCTTTAGAATGTAACTTTCAAATAAATGTCATTTCTGTATGAAGTAAGATCATCTTCAATCAGCAAAACCTGAGACTGTAAAAAACTGTTTACATAAAGAAAACACTGAAACGCCACATCTCTCAGGAACACCATTTCCTGTTTTGCTACATCACTTTCCACTCAGGATGTTTGGATTTCCCCTTTCTTCACAAGGATTGTCCAGACAGCGCAGACAGTCTCTTCATGCTTCATCTCACTGATATTGGGATTAAGCAGTTTTGTTCTTCATGCCGCATTCTTGTGGTGATCCAATGATATTTATATATATATATATACACATACATATTTATCCCTGGTCGGAATTATCGCAACAATTTTTTGTAAAGATATTTCAAAGTATTAGTGTGCATTTATAATGCACTAGATAGCCAGAATGTTGGTTTGTTTACTCAAGGTCTTGCCCTCTCATACCTGGAGTGAAAGTAAGGCCGGGACGCGACGCTCACTGCACAACGCAGGCGGTGCAACACTGCTCTTGCTTCTCGGGCAAAGTGGTGTAGTTCATCTGCCTTACAATCTCCGCGAATAGCTCATCAACCATACTCTTGCTCTTGGCCGAGGTCTCGATGAAGGGACAGCCCCACTCTTGTGCAAGGGCACGTCCGTCAGAACCCGCGACCTCCCGCTCTGACTCCAGGTCCACCTTATTCCCCACCAAGATCAGAGGCACCTTCTCAAAGCGCTTCACACGGACGATCTGGTCCCTCATTGGTCTGATGTCCTGCGGAGCATGGTGATAACAGTGTTCATGAGAATGATTCATCAAACACAACAGTTTAAGACTCAAATTACAGAGAAATTAAGACACAGTCGCAATGAAAAGGAAGTAGCATAAGATCTTCTGTAATGTGATAAATTAAAGTGTAACAGATCATTAAAAAGGAAAAAATGTAGAGTGAGGACTTGATACTGTCCATAGGTTGTTGAATATGGGCATTGCACTCTAAAGCGGAAACAGATGAATGCGAGCTTGAAGGGCGTGGTTTGAATGGACAAAATGATTGCAGAAGTCCTGGATACGCGTTTCACCAGAATATCCAGTAATGACATTTTGATTAAATTTTTTTTTTGTTGGTATGAAACATGCCCAGATGGATTTTTTCCCCCACAGTAAGTCAAAACATGCATAAAAAAATATAACATCCATTAAAAAATATATCGCCTATAGGGTGAAAATTAATTATCCCAATTTTAAGGGAGGTTCTGGTTAAGGTGTGGGCCTGATGACTTAAGATATAAAATTAAGTTTTTCTACATTACATCTGGCTTTAAGTAGACATTTTATCATATTAACACGAGATATTTTGTCATCCAATGTTGTTGCTCTTTATATATTGTTTTCATTTTATTCAAGACAAAATGTTGTGAAAAATGTAAATGTTTGAGTTGGATAAATAATCTTTTTTTAAAAACAAATGGGTGTGTGTGAGATCAACTGGGATCAAGTCTCAACCTGTTGCATATGACACAACACAACTTTAACTTATGATTTTATGTCATCTACAGTTGGACTTAACGGGTTTCGGTTTGGTAAACTTCTAAATCACAGAGGTTCCCATCATAGACAGTAAAAGAATGCTATAGGATGATTTTCTGACCTTTGTGGTATCACGTAAGTAACAGTGGTAACTAATAATGTACTTATCTAAACCTCAAGTGCCTATTTCCTGAACTAGTAACGTTATAGACAGATATGAGATGCAGAACTCACCTGAAAAGACTGCTGATTAACAAGGCTGTAGACTAAAATGAAGCCTTGGCCATTTTTAATGTACAGATCTCGCATGGACGCAAACTGCTCTGTCCCAGCGGTGTCCAGGATCTCCAGCACCGAGGGCGACGAATCCACCTCGATCTCCTTCCTATAGAAGTCCTCAATGGTCGGGTCATATTTTTCTATGAATGTCCCGGTCACAAACTGGACCGTGAGTGCGGACTTGCCCACGCCGCCGCTGCCCAGCACAACCACCTTATACTCCTTCATTTGCTCTGATCCAGGCTTAAGCTAAAGCTAACTTTATCTGCTCAACAACGGCCATAAAAACATAAAAATACCACAGCACTTCTTATCTAAACGTTTTATAATCAAAACAAACACAGGAGGTGCACTTTTCTCGGGTTCAAAGAAATCAAAGACACGGATGATTCAAGAGGAGGAATGTTTTCTCCGAGTGAGTATCTAGCTAAATCCACAACGCCCCTCCATCTGCACTCTATCTCCATCGAGATCCGATCATCCGAGAGTTTGTTAGCCACAGAGGCGATATAAAACACAAGTATTTAGTGTAGTCGTGTCCATGTTTGGTGTCCGTGTGAATGGAGCGCTACATGACTAGCGTTAGCTGGCTGCTAGTGCTTCTCAAAGAGCGAGGCTGCATTCACACACAAACGGCCCTTTCCTGCTTCAATACCGCTTCTGAACGACGAATATAATAACCGGTTTCAGGTTTCTTGCTCTGGGATCAACTCATAGATACCGTCTTGGAATCCTGTATTGCCTTCTCTAACTGTTACTTGTGTCTCTTTTCCCCGGCCCGCCTCTGCATATCGGCCCAGACAGCAGCAGCAGCAGCGGCCCCGCAACGGAGCTCCTCTCACACAGAAGCGTGAACGAACAATTCTTCCGATTCGGATCTTTTCAGTGAATCGGTTCACGGAATGAGCGAAACGGACTGAATGGGGTCCGAGAAGTTCTCGTGAAAGGACAGTTGGAACCAAGGATTAGCAGAAATGTTACAGAAAATGTATTAACAAATGTTGACTTGATTGTTTTTTAAACGTGAAAAACGTTTCTTCCAAAATATATTAGTAGTAATTAATTAGTATCAGGGGATTTGTTTTAAAATTGCTCTATTTTATACGCCGAATAATTACTGCAACAGACAATGTCAAACATGAAATAAAAACTCTTTTTAGTACAACATCAGAACAGGGACGTTGTGACGCAATTACGTTACGTTTGACGCAAAGGGTTCGCAAAGTCGTTTTTCTGAACCGGTTCTATAAAATGAACTGTTTAAAAGAACCGATTCGCTGACATGAGGCGGGCCCCGCAGAGAAGCGCTTTTCTCTCTCACACACCGCACACTGACCAATAAACATCCGCCGGAAATCACATCACTCTCACAATACAAAAGTATTAACACAGGACAGCAATTTTAAAATAATAAAAAATTGTTGTGTTTTTGTAAATCTGAATGGCAATCAGGGTAATTAGTTATGAAATAACTTAAAATGAGTAGCCTATCTCAGGCAATTGACCAGCACATTAGGGGATATACCGTCTATGGATATACAAGCACGGCCACACCTAGGCATACCTGGAACCTTAATTACTATGATAATTATTTATAATACTGGTATATAATATAATATAATATAATAACCCATACAGTCTATGTATTCAGACATTTTTTTTACCGATTATATACGTTTACAGATGATAATGTGTATAATACTAATATTATAAGATAATTATAATAAGATAAGAGAAAGTGAGGCATAAGAACAGTCAATGAGCAGACTAATACTTATTTGATAATGTTTTCAACATTAACAAAGGGTCAAAACTAGGCAATTTAAAGCATGGGTAATCATGAAGTTAACACATCAAGGAGCTGACTGTTAGTGGACACACCTTGGACATCCTTTTCAACACAAAGTCTCAACTGATGGCATTATCTTAGCATGTAGGGAGAGAGGGGCACAACATAACGCTTTTCGACTTTCTCAGTTTGTGTAAATCTACTTAGTATTTATTTTTCCCCACATTAATTTCCCACATGTCAAGTACAATTATGTGGTTTTGTTTTTGTTTTAAAAATTACGTTTAATTAAGTTAAACCAAAATATTTTCTCAGTAAAATACAATTATTCACTTTTTCATGTAAAATAATGGCATTTTTTAGTAATTAAAAATGAACTAATTTTTGAGTTTGACAACAAACACAGGAAAACACAGCTATACAGCATAGTTCAAAACAAAATAATAATTAATCAAAACAAAATAATAATTAATAATTTCTGAACATTGACTCTCAGTCTTTATTTACGTTTCTCTTGTTTTCTCAATAGAATTCATAATGATCTCATATATCTAATAGGGGCACATTGTAATGCAGTCTGACAACATGCCCCACCTGCACAACTGGAGTTTAAACCCTGCTAGTGCAGTTAGCGAAGCATTAAAGAGCTATATCAACTGTTAAACAACAGATTGGAGATTAAAATAACATCAGATTTGTCTAATTTTAAATAAACACAAAAAATAGAGAAGAAAAATTAATTTAAGATCTTTTGCTATGGTTAAATAAATATATATCTTCCAAATATTTCAGAATTTTGGCACATTTTTTCCCTATATAGTGTTGAAATGGCAACTAGTAAATACGCCAAGTTTCATCATGAAACAAGTGTGTTACAACTAGCCATGCACTACGTTGTGCCCCGCACGCTCCCCTACAGTGATTTGAATAGTTTTGTACAGTTAAACAAATTATTCTTAAATCCAATTATTTGTTGTATTTACGTCTTGTTAGATCAGTTTGTATTTGAATACCCCCCCCCCAAAAAAAAACCCCACCAAACACAGCCCAAAATTGCCTTTTAAGTGCTTTATTAAAATGTCAAACAAAAAGAACAGAAGTCTTAAGTATGTATATATTCCATACATTTATATATATTGCAAAGGGATTGACAAGAAGCACAGTTCTTGAAGCACATACAAGCACAAGAAGCTAAATAGAAAGAGAAGCATTTCATATAAAGAGTCAAAGCATTCAGTTTTATCTTGTCCTACAGTGGGAGAGAGAGGAATCTATTTCTTATGGCTTTGAAACAATGTAGACATTCTTTGAACGGTTCCACACACACAATAGCATTTACACAGGCATCAGCAGACGCCTTTAAAGGGACATAACCTCTGCATCGCCGCTTGAAACTATACAGCTTTGTACAACATTAATGTGATGCTCCGGTCTCAGTGATGTCTTCTACACGTAAACACGAACCAATGACGTTAGTGTTCCAGTCACAGGTATGACAATGACGTGACTGAATGTAGGGCACAGTTAGGTGGAAGTCTAACCTCAATGGCTTTCTTTACAGACCAGTCCTTTCACATCACACTGAATGTTTAGGCACAGGATAATGGACAGCAGAAGAGCTTTTGTTGATTTTCTCTGTCAAGCACAGTGGTAAAAGGAGCGTCCCGTGTGTTCGCATTCAGCTTCTGGATGCAAGTCGGGACCCATAGTCTATGCCAAGTCCTAAGTGCTACCTCAGCTTTACAGTCAAAAGGCTGAGGACCATATTCAATTGGTCCAAAGGTGCGTCTATATGCAAGAACCTACAAAAGACTCGGTCTCTCCCTCACTATTAGGGCAAGTGCCATGGCAACAAAATTATTGGCTTCCAAAGCAACTGTAGAGCACAGAATGTACAAGTTTTCTTCAACAGAGGGTATTATCTGGCGATTTAACGTGGGATTTTGAAGGATATCCTGTGAGATTTTCAGGTTTGTTTGTTGTTCTTGGTGAATGCACAAGAATGGAAAACGTCCGTCAATACAACCAAACCAACGCGGAAAACTGAAATTCTGCATTTTGTAGAACTTGCGGCAATGCTTTCCAGCTGCGGTCTGATCCTGAGGTGCTCTTTCTGTGCTAAACTTCCTTTTACTACACCCCCCCGTATCACTGCATCTCATGGGACTACACAGAAAACAAAACTGTGAGCCTGAAACTCACACGATGTAGAGGTAAAAGAGAATCAAGTTGGCCGTTCTTTGGTTTCCGGACACAACCGCACATCGGGATCAGACGTAAGCGGACGCGGTGCTCAACTTGACGCGCTTTTGTAAGCTATGCGAAACTACAAAGCCTTTTATGACATCATTATTTCCGCAAAATGCACTATCATGCTTAACGGTGAGAACGAGGGCATTAGCAAACAGAACAAACAACAAATTTCTCCTCAACACCCCGGCAAAACAGCATCTATCTCTTTAACATTTTACATGTATTCCAAACAATACAGACATTTGATTTGAATCTGCTCTTCGACACATATATATATATATATATATATTTATTCATCTATGTATATTCAAAATAAATTCTGAATATTTTGACTCATTTATGTACATAAGTGCAAACAAGGTGAATAACACACATTCGTACACCGATGGGGTGACCGATGGGGTCACCAGGTCCCAGCACAGCTGGGGTGCAGTCTGGGCGGGCCAGAGGGGGACAGACACAGAAATCAGGGGCTCATGTTTATGACATCACAGGGCTGCATTATTTATAAAAACCGGAACGCACCATTGCGAATGCATTGCCAGCCCTTTTCGAACCAAATATGAGACTAGCAAGTCTTTCCCCCCAAATTGATCCATCAGATTGGTTCAAAAGCTCAGATGTTGTTTAAGTAAAGATCTGGTTCTTTTCTAAAAGTGATCAGCAACCCCAATAGAAAAACAATAATCATTAAAACAGAAATAACATATGATGTCTCCAAAGGGCCTCTGGACATAAAGTATCTCACAAGTCTGTATATATACGTATTATATATATACATATATATATATATATATATATATATATATATAACAATATAGTCAATCATATCTTTTTCCAAGACCACTTAAGAACACATTCCCTTTCTGAATAAGTTAACGTTGTACATTATTTCACTTTAAGTGTGAAAAAATTCACAATTAAGATATACAAAGGTAGCCATGTTGTAGTTTTGTTGCCACAGCAACATGAACTTACTATCATTATAGGTAACAATGAATTTATCATTGTAATACATACAAATGTGTATATTGATATATAGATATATAGATTAAGTATTTTTTAATCTTAAACCACTAACTGCACAAACTATGATGTAGATTATTTAGATTACTTTAATTTCATGCGATGACAGACTTTACGATGTTAGGTAAGGAACCAAGTAACGCTAATGATCAAACGCAAACTACCATTGACAGCGTTGTCAAAACACACCGTAACATGACTGAAGTCGTGAGGATATAGTTAAAACAGGTACCGTCATTAATGTGTGTCGATAAAAACTAGAATGATGACGACGATGATGATGCATTTGTAATACACATAGATTATTCTAGCTAACTACTTTATGCAGGTATGCACACTTCTTAAAAAGTGAGATCTTAAAATCCTAAAGCCCCTGATGAGGCACATTGTTTTTTCTTTATCAAGTATTTCGTTGATTCCAGCTGGATTGCAGTTGGAGAAGGCATAATTCTTTATATAAGAGAGAGAGAGAGAGAGAGAGAGAGAGAGAGAGAGAGAGAGAGAGAGAGAGAGAGAGAGAGAGCATCTACACCTTGGCTGGGCAATGGAACTCAATTACAAAACACAATCCAACACATCAATAAACAGTAGAGATCCTTCCTCAAGAAATCTACACGCATTTGCCCCAGTATTTCTTAAAACAATCTTAAAACACATGAACATTATACAGAGATGTTTACAATACAGATATTTTAGTTATAACACAGTATAGTATCATCTTGCTCTAATTTTGTGTTGTTTTACACCACCTATGCTGTCATTTCATTTGTGTTTGGCCTAGATAGTGTGTGCTGATCAGCAAAAAAAAGTGCAATGATGGTTTTTAAGGTCTGGTTATCACAAAAAGAAAAAAAAAAACGCTTTATGGCTCTCTCTTGGGGTTATGCTGTTGAAACAACATGGCTGACCCAAAGGAGACAACAGTATAGAGAAGGGTCTTTGAGATAAGTGATGATAAACACTTTTTTTTCTTTTCTGTCTTTTTGTACATCAACAGTGGATGGCATTGGGAGGCTTTCACTTCCTTGATATGTTGAGAAAGGTTGTAGTTTCGTTCGAGAGAAATGGTGATACAGGCATCCAAAACCTCTCGTGACATTCTCTCTGTCTTAAATGTCACATTCATTTATGCATGTAAAGGCCCGTGAGGGGCAGTAATGTCTTGTCAATGAAGCTTTGGCTGATGAGGGCCTTTACTAAGTACCCAGTCTGAAAATAATTAATTTTCTTTTTTTTCCTTTTATGGTAACATGTCTACCCGAGAGCCGCAGCTTTCAGCTCACAGTCCAAACAAGAATAATATTCTGATGTCGCACGGTCGTCTACGCCCTTGCATTTTAGAGTCTGCCGACTTTCGAAAGTAAGGACACAGTCAGTGATTGAAACCTGTTCACACTCTAAACATGAACACAACAAACACAAACACAAATAGTCTTAAATAGTCAAAATTCAACCAGCTGTCTCTCTCGAAGTCAAAACGGGCAAAGAAACTCCAGTACGACCCTAATGGATTGCAGGCCTCCTTGTATCGTCTGTCTGACACAGTTTTCACGTTCCATCCATGGACAAACTATCAATAATATATTACAGCAATAATCTAATAGAGCTCTTGGTTGGCAAGGACTGGAAGTCTATTAGTACGGCGTCCACTGATGCAGTAATAAAAACAGATGCTGAAAACCACCCTACTGTCAGTTTCGACTCAACCTAATGAACGGTAGCAATAACTGAGACGTTTCAAAACAAAGCACAAGATAATAGCTTGCTCAAGTGGGTTTACATTTGTTGCTCGGGTGGGTACATTTGCGATATTGCAATTTAAATCCATCTGGCTCGCGACCTGATTGCGCAGTCTGAGTTCTCCGGTGATTGGCACAGGGTGACCTGTCTGAGAGTCATTGGCACAAAAGCAGTGCACTTGACATGTCTGTGCAGGGGGGCGCACATGGTGCTGAATACAGCAAACCAATGGGAGAGACGCAGAATTCTCAAATCAGGCACCAGTCTGTAACTTCTAGAAATGCTTTTGCAAATGTGATTTGAAATGAGGGTGTAAACAGCTAAACATGCAGTTTGAACGGATTATGTGAGATTTATTTTGGCAACTAACGACTATTGAACACAGATCTTATAGTACTCTGGGATGCACCAAACATGGCTGAACAAGAAGTGGAGACGAACAGACTGTCACACAGCAGGTGGGACAGAGCATACATTTTGGCAGAGACAGTCCAGCCATCAGAAGGGGGTTGTCTTCAAAAGATAGACATGGTAATAGGATGAAGCTCTTGAAAATATGTCAAATTTCACACCAAAATCAGAACAGTTTTGCATAAAGGTGAAGCCTCATTTTAGGATACTTTTGCTTTGCAACGTCGTTCTTACGACAATTAAACCAAATTCCCTTAATTTAGATTAATTTAGCAATCATTGATTTTTACTGTTAAACAAAAAATATTTTGTTGTGATTTAATTATTTTTATTATATTTTTGTTAAAATTAGGATTAAACAAATACAACTGTGATGTATAAATACAGTATATATATATATATATATATATATATATATATATAGTTATTTATTGCATTTTACAGTGATTATTATTTTTTTTTTTTGTACTATGGTAATGGCGATAGAGGTAATGTGCTTAAATGTCGTTTTTTTGTCATTCAATTGTCTTATTTCCTCTGCTTTTTGGGTGACATGGACACGTTTTCATAAGATTCACCTAATAACCGTAGAAAAAGTGATATGAATTTATAATCTAAAAAGCAAATAAATATGACTATTTTTACAGTATTTGAATATCCAGGACACATCAGCCGATAGTTTTGCAAGAAACATTGAACAAAGTCCAGCTGGAATTAAAAAAAAAAATGTTCAGTTAAAATCTTCTCAATGAGACATCTTATACATCCAGAAGGCCTGCAATCAGACCTTAAATTCAGTGTGCAGCACACTGTGAAAGCAAAAGTGCTCATAGTTAGTGAGTCTGCTTAAGGCAGTTCTATTTTTAAAACGGAGGTACTAGCATGTCAACCAATCTTGTGTTTGACCGTTTCGATGTTGAGCTTGAAATGCGAGGTGAGATACTTCAGGCATGAATATTAACACTTATCTCAGTAGACCAGTTTTAGCCTGTTAGACAGTGGTTAAATAAATAATACTGTTTCATGAGACCATGAAAAACCAAGTCACTCAGAACAACACACATCTCTAAGTTGACAGAAGAACGACACATTGATTCTGAAAGGCTACACAGGTATACTTTCTTAGTCTATGATAAAATGTAAGTCAGTTGTAGTACAGAAGAATTGGGGAAAGAAAGACATCCACACACTTGTAACTCAAAGGCACGAACAACAACATTTTGAAAACCTCTCAACGAAAAACCTAAATCAGTATCATGAACAGATTATCTTACAAAAGAATCAATTGGTTTCAAATAATCTTTTTTTCTCTACATTTTAAAATGTAAACATGAAATAAAACGTGCCACGTTCATTAATTATAATTAAATGTGAAAGAAAATACCACCACCACAACTATGTAAAATATCATTAGCAGGTGTCGCTCTCACACACTCTGTTGTCACATTCAACGACGGAGAAACATTCTGTCTGCTGATGATGATCTGTGTCGGCTCCATCTCCTACCACACATCGGCTCTCAAATCTAATGTTCACCTTCGGAGAATTCATTTTCTCAGCTAATTGGTTTGCATGTATTCGTATGGCTGTGAGTTAGGAGAGCGTTCCGTCTCCTGATTCAGCATCCGCACGCTCCTTAAGTCTCCTTGTTTTGAGATGGCATGCTTCCTTATACAGTTGTAGGTCCAAATTTAAGTATTGCCTGTTTCAATATCAACAAACCTCTGTTGACGTCAAATGAAGTGGGCATCTCTGATATGAGAATTAATGTATTGCCCGTTAAGGACTTTACTGATTAGGCACACGTTTGTTGCATTCATTTTTCTGTTGTGTTTGGGCACACGTTGCATGAGTGATGGGTCTGATTAGGTTGTGGGATTGCGGGAGAGGCTTACTGGATTCAGCGTCATAGGTGCGGCCACCAGGAGTTTAGGAACGGGGCAGAAATGGGCCTCCATGGGAACACACTGGAGGTCCATGGGGTCTGTGCTCAGTACCTCGGCAGCGTCTACTGGAAGACAGGTACAAATACAGCCCACAGATAAGGTAACGGACCTCTAACTGCTAAAAAAGCAATATGCAAGTATCTTATCTACTCGAACATCAACCCTGCGGTTCATTCCGAAATTGAGAAAAAGAATTACAAGAGAATGAATAAATATCGTGCCATATCGTCACATAATGCATCAGTTATCTTGAGACAGTGGGCGAAGACCTGCAATTCCACATTTGTAATTTTGCAAGACATATTTCAGCATAAAAGCAAGCGAAGCAGGAAATGAGCGCTGACACGTCAGGTCTGCGCGGAATATACCTGTACTTTAAAATTGCCTTTAGATTATAAACTAGAGCTAAAAACCACTGAACATCTTACATAATGCTAAAACAATCCACTTTGAAACAAGGTTGGCCGTGTCAAGCTCGTGGCTCATCTAAGATTCTGCAGGACACATGAACTAAAGAGACAAAATGGTGAACTGTCTGTTTCCTCACATTACGAACTTTTCAAGCTAACTGTAAGACAATTAAAAAGGAAGGACAAACAAAAATTCAGAAAACTCACATCCTATTTACAGAAAAACGAGGACACGTATACCATTTCACTCTAGTGTGAGCCACAGAAACAACTTGCTCCAGTGCAAAATTAGCAAAACATGGTGAAGGGGGAAGAAAAGACAATGAACTTTTGAGCTTTGACATTTAAAGCAACAGTATCAAAAATGATACTTCCGTCATCATTTACTCACCCTCATGTTGTTTCAAACATGTACGATTTTCTTTCTTTGGTGGAACGCAAAAAGGAGAATTTTGTGAAGAATCACTGCACTTCTCGTTCCATACAACGGTAGTTCATAGTGACTAAATCTGATTATTTCCAAAAATGACTGTACACCACACGATCACCAAAACAATGCCATAAAATAAGTCCATCCCACTTGAATTGAACTTGAACAAATCAGTCTATGATGATCAGATCAAATAGTTCACTGAAAAGAACTTGCTCAATAGAAAAAAAAATATTAATTCAAGAATTATTCAAGTAAATAAGGAATCAAATCAAACAGTTCATTGAAAAGAACCAACTATTTTATCATATAAACGATCATATAACTTCACAAGGCTAGAATACAATCGTACAGGCTACTTTTCTGGTGCCTTTTTGTTGTATTTTCCTTTACATGTTCACTATGAACTGTCATTGTATGGAAAGAGCTGGCAAATAATTCACCATTAAACGTCTAATATTATGTTCCATGGAAAAATTAGCAGCATTCAGGTTTGGAAAGACACGAAGGTGAGTAATTAAGGAGAGAAATCTCTTTAAATGCAGTTGTTTGCTCTAAAACACAGTGAAGACACAGACACAGACAGACAGAGATGTGAACACACACAGACATGGTTGAACTGGGACACTGTGTTAAAGAGGTAAAGAGCGGATCCTCACTGGTCCACAGAAAATTTACATTATGTTTAACCATTTTGGCACAGAAAACACGAATTACCACTCTCTTTACTCAGATCTCACTTTCAGACATTACATTTTGATTTTAAAGTGTTCATTTATATATATATATATATATATATAAACACTTTAAAATCAAAATGTAATGTATATAACATATATATAATCAAGCATTATGGTCTATGGACCAGTCGGATGCCTTACAGCAGTAAAAAGGAGAGGCCAAAATGAAGGGGCAAACCTGGTTGGAGGTGGCTGATTCAGCAAAAGGAACATTGGTGACTGGGGTTGTAGCCGACGAAACAGTGGAAGTGGTGGCACCGTGCATCATGGGAACTTTTTTCAGGCGAGTCAGACAAGAAACAAGGGAAAGGGGAAGGTGGAGGGGAGGAGGAATGTTATGAGTACCATGACATAATATGCCAGAGGAATAGGCTGAGTCATGGCAACTACGTCTTTGTGTACTGCAAAAGATGATGTATTCACTCAAGAACAAACATGCAAAAGAACTTAAAAACACTTTCATTACGTTTTAGCTTAGAGAGTTTTATCCGATCACTATTGCTTTTAGATAAAACTATCGAGAAACCTCTAATGGGCAAAATAAAAACATGGCCGTAATCAAAATCACACACATTTGGAACAGACAGGAAGACCTGACTGTCATATTTTGATGGGGGCCGGGGAATGGATAAATATACATTGGGGGAGAAGCAGGGAATGTAAATATGCAATTCATTCCCGTCCAAATATTGCCTTAAAATAATATGACACTTTATTTCTTTGGTTTTATTTGAGTTAACCTGATATTTGACATAATCATTCTAAAACACAAAGTAAGAATTTAGGACCAGCTATTAGTAATAGAGATAAAGGTCATATTATATGAAAAACTGCAAATTAACACAGCATGATATGTATACAGCAAATGCATTACAGATGTCAAATAATGATATAAAAATTTCAAATAGAGACATGCGCACAGGCACACATTGGCACACTCACTGGTTCAACGCAGATCTAGTGTTTTGACATTTTGACAAGACTGGTGAAGTTGTTTCCCAGCTAAATGACTGTTAAGGACAGATTTAAGTTGGCCAGCTAAAAAAAGTGCATTTTACTGAACTCTATGGGGATGGAAACTTGAGTTTCTGTTAGATTGAGAAATGGGAGGTGTGATTTCTACCTTTCTAAACAGGGAAATGGTAAGGTTGTGAGTGTATGTGTGTGAGGGGAGGGGACCTAGACTCTACCCTCACCAGTATGTCCAGGCCCTGACAGGTAACGACTTTGGGGGGGCCTGCAGTTGGTCCAGTCCCGCCTCTCCCAGCGGCCATCTGTCATTAGGCCTTGGGGTTTGAATAGGCCTATAATAGATTTAAGGAGGTGAGGGAGAGGAGAGGATGAGGAGGAAAGGGCACAAAAAAGGAACCAGTCTTAATGAGTCGCGTTGAAGGCTTAAGCCTTGCTTATTTGTGCCCGCACTGTGCCGTGAGCTGCACACAAAATCACACACACACACATGCAAGAACAAATGCACGTCATACATTGAGGCCAAATAATAAGCAAACAATAACAAGCAGTGGAAGCACACAGGTTGGATGTAAACACAGTGACAGACAGGAAAGGGTTAGGCCTATAGTTTGAGGCCTCATGAGAAAAATGACAGTGTGAGGAGCATTATGCTAAGCTGTCCTTGTCTTTTTTAGTATTGACCATTAAACATGTCTCATATTGATGAGTTTCTTCGACTATGAGCACTTTTTTTTTTTTCTTCTGAAAGTTTCTTCTAACCCTAACCCAAACCCATTTCCACCATATCCCAAACAATGTACTGTGTTTAAAGGGTTAGTTCACCCAAAAATGAAATTAAGTCATTAATTACTCACCCCCATGCTGTACCAACCCCGTAAGAGCTCCGTTCGTCTTCGGAACACAAAAGTTGATATTTTTGATTAATTTGTGAGGTGGTTCACTGCTACATAGGCTGCCTAAGGGATTGAAACGTGACGGCCCAAAAAGTCACTGAAGAAAATGTTTAAATATTCCAAATATACGAGAGTTCAAGAGATTTCCACGACGTATGCGTGAGAACTGCGATCTCCTTCAACTACTTCTTGCGCAATTCTCGCGCATGCGTCGTGGAAATCTCTTGAACTCTCGTCTCAGGCCCAGAAGGAAGAAAAGGAATAGTCGAATAAAGTCGTTATTTTTGTTTTATTTCCAGACAAAAAGTATTCTCATCGCTTGATAAACTTGTAGTTGAGCCACTGTAGTCACTTGGAATATTTAAACATTTTCTTCAATGACTTTCTGGGCCGTCAAGTTTCAATCCCTTAGGAAGCCTATGTAGCAGTGATCCACCTCTCAAATTTAATCAAAAATATCTTCATTTGTGTTCTGAAGACGAACAAAGCTCTTATGGGGTTGGTACAGCATGGGGGTGAGTAATTAATGACTTAATTTTCCTTCAATAGAATTATTTGGTGGAAATTAAGGTGATGGAAATAACATTTGAATAATTTTCAAAATAAAATGGCAAACTGAGTTATTTCTAGACTAAAAATACCACACAATAAAAATATTGTTCACAAGTGATATTTTATTATTAGCTGTAAAAGACAGTCATAATGTGTAAAATGGAATAGATCATTTGAATAATCAGTTATTTTCAGTTATTGACAATGATTATTATTTTAGAACTATTAATATTTAATTATGAACACTTTTTTTAGCCTTTACTCCTCAAAGTCTGTTTCCACCACATCCTAAATGATATATTGTTTATTAGCATTCAGGTGGAAAAAGAACTTTAAACAATTCTTTAAATAGAATGGTTTTAAATAAACAGCAGCGAGACTGAAAATGCCAGACAATAGAAGTGATATTTACCTTGATTTTGTAAAGGCAGCTGTAAACAATGCAATCTTATTGTATGAATATTCATATAAATTATTGATTTTAATGAATGATTTAAAATTTACAATTAAAATGGGGAAAAAAAACTGTCATGACATAAAAGTGCCCACAGCTGGAGAAAAACCCTATGATACACTGCTGGGCCTTTGGAGTTGCATGACCTTCCTGTCTGCCACATATCTGAGATGTTGCTGTAAGGTAAATGTTGATCCAAATAGACTGGGAAGTGACCTACCAATGCCTCCAGATGGAGCCATGCAGAATACGGAGCCTGCAACACCATGCACAAAGAGCCCAGGAGAAGAGACACCGAGGAGGATGGAGGGGTGGAAGAGATGAGAAGGGGTAGTTAAAGCAGCGTGAGTACAAGACAAAACAACTTTAGAGTTAGTGACACACAGCGAAAGAGCGATGACCGTCATTATGGGCACCATGGTGGCGAGATGGAGACATGGACACAAAGCAGGGGGAAACCAAGAGGAAATGAATTACGCTGGCAGAATAAAAATGTCCTAATCAGGAGGTGGATGTTAACCTGGATGCCAATCTATTGTTGTGTCTCGCCAACTGAGTAGCCCACTGCTAACAAGTTCAGCTTGACTGGTGCTTAATGTTAAAATCAACATGCTTAAAATGTGCTGTGTATTAGATTTAAACAGAATATTCATCTGGATAAAATCTAGAATAGGGCTTCTTTTCATCCATAAGGATTTGATTCGATCAAAAGGTATTATGCTATGATACATAAGAAAAACAAAAGTCATTTTCAGGTAAATAAACCTACTGCCTTGCTTTAAAATAACCTGATAATCTACCATGAAACATTTATTAAGATTTAGTTAAAAAAAGGGCCCATTTTGATTTCATGTAGTCTATAAAGACCTCATGAAATTGTATCATCTTGTGATGTGGGAAGAGTTGTCAGAAGCTTAAAGGGATACTCCACATTTTTTGGAAATAGGCTCATTTTACCACTCCCCCAGAATTAAACAGTTGAGTTTTACCGTTTTCGAATCCATTCAGCCGATTTTCTGATATTTAGAAGAATGTCAGTAACCAGAGAGTTTCTGGTCTCACTGACTTCCATAGTAGGAAAAAAAATATACTATGGAAGTCAATGAGACCAGAAACTGTCTGGTTACTGACATTGTTCTACATATCAGAAAATCAGATTTGAAAACAGTAAAACTCAACTGTTCAACAGTTTAACAGAGGGAGTGGTAAAAATGAGCCTATTTCCCAAAAAGGTGGAGTATCCCTTTAATGAAAGTGACGCTGAAGTCATGAGACTGTGGTGTATTTTGGTTATAAGTTTGTATTCATTTTTGAAAATGATCATGATGAACGAAATGTAGGAAGCAAACATGTTGGTCAAAGGGCTTTTGTTGTGTAATAGTCCTAAAGCCAGAGGAAAAATCATACTGAGTTTTTATCGAGGGAACCAGGGTGATACTAACGTGGTTTAAAAATACGTCATTGCTACAGCGCTTTATAGACTCGGATTAAAACCCACACAATTCCAGTTTTGAAATGACTGGGTCATTAAAACTCTCTGCTGGGTAGCAAACCTACTGTAACAATCCTCTCACAGACTTTTTATAAGGCTGGAGGGTTGTTGTTGCTTGTGTCATTGAGGCAAAATACAATCTAGTTTCTCTTACTGAATGTGAGAAGAGGAAATATTGTGCACTGCAGAATCAGAACAAGATGCTCATGCTCAGGTGCATGAGGAGACAATGCAGGACTGTATATGCATCATGGGACTAATGACATTGGCATAGGGTGGACTACTATAAAGAGAGCAAGTGGGCTTACAGGGAGAGAGATGGCAAGCAGAAAATGTGCTCAAGTCCTCGTCTAGCCGGGCACTTTGCCTTAAAAGTGCTGTATGTATGCAAGCCAAACTATTACAGGAATATGGTGATATTAGAGCGCAGTCACTCGTCTGCGAAGGCTCACCTGTGGGAATGAACGCTGGCTGCTGCAGCTGCATGCTGGCCAAAGCCTGCTGGTAGTGGAACATGCTGGGGTTGAAGACGGCAGCCGCGCCGTTAGTCTTCTCCAGGGCCGGTCTCTTTGGTAGCTGTTGCATGGCTCCTGGTGGCAGAGCCTGAAGTGATCAGGTCACGATGAAAAAAGAAAGAGGAGAAAAACAAAAAGAAAGAAGAAGAAAGATAGTGGGCGGAGGGGGAGGTCAGTGACAGCCATGGTATTGAGCCACAGAAAACGTTCTACTGTGTGTGTTCATGTCTATGCATGACAGTGATTGTGTATTTGTCATTCTAAGAGTTGCAAATCATGCGTCATAAATAAAATGTAGAAATATGATGATTTTGGGATGCAACAGAAAATGTTTGTTATTATTGCATTATATTTATCATACTGTTTAAAATGTTGGGGTCAGTAAGATTTTTTTTTTAAATAAAAAAATACTGAACTTTCTTTTCATTAATAAATCCTAAAAAGAAATATATCACATTTTCATCAAAAACATTTAGTAGTAATATTAAGCATTTCAACATTGGTAATAAGAAGAAATGTTATTTGAGCACCAAATCATTATTTTAGAGTGAATCTGAAGGATCGTGTGACACTGAAGACTGGAGTAATGATGCTGAATATTTAGCTTTGCCATCACAGGAATAAATTACATTTTAATATACATTAAAATAGAAAACAGTTATATAAATTGTTATATAAGTATTAGGGCTGTCAAATGATTAATCGCGATTAATCACATCCAAAATAAAAGTTTGTGTTTACATAATATATGTGGGTGCACTGTGTATAATTATTTTCTACATATAAATACACAAACATGTATGTATATTTAAGAAAAAAATATTATTTATATATAAAATATTGATATTTATATATATACATGAAACTATTTCTTAAATATATACAAGCATGTGTGTGTATTTATATATATATATATATATATATATATATATAAAATAATTATACACAGTGCACCCACATATATTATGTAAACACAAACTTTTATTTTGGATGCGATTAATCGCGATTAATCGTTTGACAGCCCTAATAAGTACATATAGTTTTTTTCCAAATAAATGCAGCCATGGTGAGCAAGGTATTTTCTAGAAGAAATGTAATATGTTTGTAGTATTATTTAATAGCATTTTAAAATAATTTAATTCAAATTTGACTAATTTTGTTGACTAGTTTTGACACAAACTAAAGATTTTTTTATTCATGTTATGCTGTGGCTCCATCTTTGGGAAATGTCTGGGTCTGCTTCTCTATTTCTCTCTAAGAGGTGTCAGCAGCATGAGGAAGAGTGATATCAGAAACAGAAACTGAAGTGAAGCATCCTTATCGGCCTCCGATAGTTAAACTGAGAATGCTCAGCCCAGATGAAGGCATGATGATGAGAATGTATGGCTGTCTTCCACTGTGTAATTCTGTCTGAAGACCGATATGCAAGGTGATAAGAGCAAGGTCAAACAGAAAGAGGATATCTGTGATTCACAAACGGAGGCATGATGGGGGAGCAGGCCGACCTCATGATTTACATGTGAACTCAATCCCAAGTAACTCAATAATACTGTGCTGTACTGTATATAGCACTCAACAGTCAGGTTCACAACAACGTAAAAATATCAATCCAAATCTCCATAGTGATTCAGATTTTCAAAACTAATTTACATACCTTTCAAGAAATACTAACAATAAGCTCTAAGGTTATTGTGATGAAGGTGTATGTTTTCCAAAGAAGGCATAAACCAGTGATTTAAACCTCACAGAAAACAATTGCTTAACTGTCGAATTCATTACAGGTGAAGTATTGCACTCCCTACAATCCTGGCTGAGATCCGCCAATCAGAAGATGTTGTTTGAATGGAAACTAACTGTAATCTCCACTACATATTTTTTTCTTTTGCTTGCAGCTAGGTACTATTTTTACATAGTTATGAAAGCTAAAGATAGCTGCTATCTACCTTGTTAGTCATTACAGGAATTACAGAAGTGTAAGGGCATAAAACATGTGGCATAAAACATAAAACCTTGTAGGCGGGTACTCTGTTGAGGTTTAAAACTACTGGATCTGCCCAGAGCCAATCGCTACCATTGGCCGTGAAGTATGACGACTCAAACTAGCGCACAACATCAACGTCATCGTTCTCAGCCACTCCCTCTATTCGCTGATTGGACCAGTAAAAGACTGACCGGAGAAAACCAAAGAATACACCACAAACCCAGACGTAGGACTGAAGGAAAATGAAAATTGAGCGGAAGTACGTAGGAGGGCGGAGCCAGGCTATAAACTATCCCCTTCAAAGAACAAATATTTCTCAGTGCATTATGGGATGAGTAGTTAATTCATTCTCTCATAAAAGACTAGAGACTAGAATACATGTTATGGCATATACAACCACTAAAAGTCTGTTATTAAAATTCTGTCTAAATAACTAACTAACTAACAGAAAAAAAAGCAAAATGCTGTAATTTGAATTTGAATCACCAGATTATACAGTTTGAAAAAGTTATATTAATTTTATGATTTGCTAAAGATGTTTTTTTAAAGATCAACTTTAATTGTTAGACAATGGAAATATTGAATATTGACCAATACATTCAAAAAACTATTATCAGACAACAGCCAATATGGTACCCGACATTTTACATCCATATGTGATAAAGATGCGAAATACATTCTTGTGTCTCTCTTTTTTTCAAATGTGAATCAAATTTTGTTATTCCTCTTTGAGCTAGCACGTTTCAATTTTCTGAAGTGCCCGTGGAGAAAATTATTGAGAAATACAGTATACTAGAACCCAGACTAATAATAAAAAAAGATCTCTGCATATTTATTCAGTTTCATTTCACTTCTAACGGATTAGTTTACAAAAGTTGTGGCTGGTTTCTTACAGTACTGACACGTTCATATGCAATATGAGCAATTAGAAATTAACAAATTAGCATAGCAAAGAAAAGACACAAAAATGGGTGAAAGATCAAAGTACCAGGTGGAAAGTTGGCTGTAGGCTGCGCTTCAGAGGACGCACTGGGGGCTGGGTATGCGAGCAGTGATCACATGACGATGGCAAACCAATCAACGACAGTGGACATAAACACAAGACAAGAGAATGAGCCGTGAAGGAACAGATTCAGCAGAGAGAAAGAGAGAGCGCTGGGTAATAAGCTTGTAGGACAACAAAGAGAGCTGTGAGGATGTAAAGACAATCAAGCAGTGTTTTCATAAAGAATGACAGCTGAACGGAGGAGGAGTCAAATAAAGCCAAAATATGATAAAGCCCAAGGCAAACAAGGTGACTGCAAGAAGCAGGGGAGGATATCTGGATAAGGTTCCCACATCTGTGCACTGTAAATAAACCTGCAAAAATGTTACATGATAAGAAAAGGGAGGACTGGGATAAAGAAGACATTATTAAAGGGAAATTGGCTGCAGTACGCTCTCGGGTGAGAGGCTGTTAGTGGAGGATTTTGTGGGAATGAATTGCTTGTTTTCTCCTTTCTTATATTTTTTCTCTCCTGCACCTGCACTGCAGACACTGTTTGCAAGCGATCACAGAGCCCTGGTCTTCATACATCACACAAGAGACAAAGAGCTCACCTACAGACACACACACACCCTCCTGTGGGGAATCTGAATTATTTAATACACTCCTGAAACTCTCATTGAAGGTGTGTGGAAAGTGAGTTATAAATACACACACCTTCGTCTGATCCAAGTAGAGCTTATTGAAAATGGCATATTGGCCAAAACTATGGTTGTTGGTCACTTAACCTCCTTAATCCAACAAAACCGTGCTGAATGATGATGAACCTTGCTAAATTACTACATAAAATGCCCACAAATAAACAGTGCACTGTGGTCTTTGTAAGTGAAAAGGTATATGATATAATATCATTGAATAATGAATGGTAATCATGAATGTTAATGATAATAAATATGTTTTTCATTTTTTTTTTTAAACAAAGTGGTTTTGATTCATTCTGATTTATGCCATAACAAGCAGCTTATGATTAAATGGTCAGAATTTATTTAAATATGTAACATATTCAATAAATAACAATGAATTTGCATTTATGATTTTATTAGCTTCGATTAATTTATTTCCCGAGTGCGAAAGTTCACAATTTATTTACAAATTATTTGAAAATGGATGCTTTATTTGATTAATTTTAAAATAAATTCAGAAAATTCAGATGGATGGATAAATTAAAGCACTTTCCAGTTTCCACACAATGGTTCTAGATATATTTCTCAAGGTCTTCTCTTGCTAAACTAGTTTCATTGAACAGTGCATTCAATTATGTTTAGTCCAATTATCAATATGACTATTTCATATTGTTGCATTGAATTGTGTTTACTGATGGCATTTGTACACAGAACATCCCTTTTATAAAGTATAAATGATGTGTAATTGTCGTAATTATGAGAATTAGCGCGTATGATTGTCATTGTAATGGGATCGTCTCAGTAACTCACCATGGCAGCAGCATTCTGGCTGGCTTGGTGCTGCGCCGCCTTTATCCGGGCCTGTAAGTGAGCCGGAGGGTGAAAGTACTTGCATTTGTCACGGGTGCAGCGGCCCTTGATGTAATCCATGCAAACAATGACCGAGTTCTCACTGCCGTCCACCATGGCGGCTTCCATTGGGTGGGCGTAGCGGCAGTCGTTCTCCCCACGCGTGCAGTTTCCCCGCTGGAATTCTCGACACACCTGGGAGCAAGATAGCAGAGATTTACTATCACCCATTAGTTATGCTGAAAATCAACCTTAGTGACAGTAATTTTAACGTGAGTGGCCCTTGTCCAACTCTGTGTTGTGAGTGGTTGCCAGGGTGTTGCTATAGAGTGCATTAGAACCCACACGCTTTGTTTTTAGTAACATTTGATCCAAAAGTTTGTTTTTCATGCATTTTCCCCCACAGGAATGTAAAAAACGATTCATTTAAAGTTCTTGATTATATCTATAGGAAATATTTTATGTTTATTGCAAACCACGCATATATGTTGTTTTACCGCCAAACAGTTAACTAAAAGTGTGATGCTTTGGAAAAGTGACAGAATGCAATTTGAGATATATTCAAATACGTATGTTTAGCAACAGTTATAGTGATATTGTTTACTGTTCAACACCTCAAGTTTGTCTGTGCGAACATGTTTCTGCGTTGAATTTCCGTTGCCCATGGCCATGCCGGTGGGGCTCCCCGGGACCAGCACGGGGGCGCTGGGCAGAAGCTCGGGCATGAGGCTGATGCCCGGGCTCATGTGGCTTAGGTACGGGCTGAAAGCCATGCTCGGACTGTTGGCCAATGAAGGCGTAACTGGGAAAGAGGTCTGGATAGGAGATACAAAGACAACAAGAGATAATAAACCAATGTTTTCAAGCCGACAGAAATGATCGTGACGTTATTGCTTATGAAAATCTAATCTCACGATAGGCTGCAGCTGAGCTCCAGGCAACATGAACTGCATCTGCTGGGCCAGCATGGCGGCTGCGGTCTTCTGCTGGATCAGGTTGTTCCTGCCGTTTATCTCCAGCTGGGTCTTGAGATGAGGCGGAGGATGCAGGTACTTACAGTTATCACGTGTGCAGCGTCCCTTAGAGAGGTTGAAGAGGGAGACAGAGAGATGAATTGTACTAAATCTCAGCAACTGAAACATCCAAGACTTCATGCAGTGTGTCAGGAAGATAAGGACTCCATGATTGAAAGGATAAATTAAACAGGAATCCCTAGATATTTGACAGAACCGATTCCAACTTTCCACTCCAATAGAAACATCCAAAACCCCATCAAATGAAAAGAAAATAGCATAATCTCAGGAGTGCTGGAAGGTCTGAATATCAAACGATCAAAGGAAACAGCAAAATGACAGCATTGGGACACGGGATACTTCCAAATGAATTGACAGTGACAGCCTTCCCTTTCTGTCTGTCTGTTTGCATCAACAATCTGTCCGTCTGTGCGGCTGACAAGATTATATAGCCCTTGTGGCTGTTGTTCACACTCATACTACATATGGATCGGATCGGATGTATAGCATGATGCTTATCACCCAGCTCCCTGAGCAACATGTTGATGGGCAAGCAACAGACACGGTTAAATACACACACCAAACGTTCAGGAGCGGGGTCGATTAGCTGCGAGACAAACTCAATGAACCCATGGAGCAATGCCATTTGTTCTGCACTGCGTAAGGTACTGTAATAACCCAGTAGGGAAAGATGTCGTTCCATCAGTCCGACAGTTACACACTCTGGCTGATGTTCTATGGATAAAGCTTCTCTATTTCCCTTCACATTCATATATTTTTTTACATTTTCTACCCTTTTCAGGTTATGGAGGTCTTGGGGATAGAGAAATGGAGCAGGGAACTATGGTACAAAACCGAGAATCGCATGCTAAACCTAGCCTATAACAATTAGCCTAATAGAGCTGTTAAACTTAAAATTTAAAGGGACAGTACACCTAAAAATTACAATACTGTCATCATTTACTCACCCTCATGTCATTCCAACCATATTAAAGGTACAATATGTACGAATTTTGTGATAAAATATCCAAAAATCACTTGCACAGATTGACATATTTCCTGCAGTTGTGTACTCACAATAGCCCAAAAGTCTCCAAAGATTTTTTTATTTCAGAGAAATTCCAATTTTAAATAAGCGGCTGTCCCGTAAAAAAATGTCGCCAGTCAATGACGCAATATCCGCGCTATCTTCGTTCATACTGCCATAGCCATGATGAGTAACCATGGTGACAGACATGGACAACTGCCTATTGCGTAACGTTTAGCGGCACGCAGTTCTTGTTTCTTTCAAAAATAGACCATGGCAAGCAGACTTTGGGTCAAACATAGAGAACTAAAATGAGGATCAATATGAGCGTGGCGTTTTTGAGATGCCGAGAGCTCCACGTCCGAGACGAATTTTGGCTTGACAGAGCTTCACGAGTCACGACTTGACAGCTTTATTAGACGGGTGAGCAAATGAACATAAAACAAATCAATGTTATATAACGTTAGCTCAACATGATGAAATGTCAGAATATGATCAGTATGTTATTCTAATGTTGATCTAGCTTACTGCTAGTTTTGTATAGCAAACGAACTAACAATTAGAATAAGATTATAACTTTCAACACACATTTAAATGCTGTTTAGTGTGATAGTGTAACGTTAGGTTACTTTGTATTGTCTTCTTGTATTAAGACAATTAAGACAATACAATGCTGAATAAAGTCGTAGTTTTTGTTATTTTTGGACCAAAATGTATTTTCGATGCTTCAAACCATTCTAACTAACCCACTGATGTCACATGGACTACTTTTGATGATGTATTTATTTCCTTTCTGGACAAGGACAGTATACATACATTTTTTCAATGGAGGGACAGAAAACTGTCGGACTAAATCTAAAATATCTTAAACTGTGTTCTGAAGATGAACGGAGGTCTTACAGGCTTGGGACGACACGAGGCTGAGTCATTATTGACATAATTTTCTATCTAGAAATCTAGGGGAGAGGTTATGCCACATACAATTTGATGAAATATGCAAACACATGTTTCTGACAGATTAATCATTCATAGTTCATCCAAAAGTGACATTTCTGTCATAATTTATTATTATAACCTCATGTTGCTCATAATGATTTTCTTTCTTCTGCAGAAAACCAAAGACCTGATATAAAAGAATGCGTCACTCTTTTACACACAAAGAAAGTGATTGGTGACCATGGTATCAACAATATTTAGACTTATGCCTAGCTTTCATATGGGTTCAAAAGACTTTGAATGATAAGTTATGCAGACTACAGTATATGGCCATTCATTTTCAGAGCTTGACAGACTAATTTCACTGTAATTGCATGGAAAAGAGCAGATTGGAGTCAAACATCTATTTTTGTTTACGAAAGAAAGAAAACCAACCATGCCCACTTGGCTTGTTTGGTGAATAAATTATGGGGGAATGTTAATTTCATTTAACATAGAAATTAATTCTGTATTAAAGAAAGCAAATATTCTATGAAAAAAAAATAAAGATTCTACTGTCATGTAGTCATTTTATTCTAAAAGAAGATCTTCAGAGCTTCAGAGTTAAAAAAACATGGTTTGGTGCACTGAATTTCTTCCTTTAATGCATTGAGATCTGTAAGGGTGGAACAGTTAAACACATTATAATGTTTCATGTTGCTCTTTACAAACATGATCTGCAAGAATGCCCAAAGAGTTAAAACCATCTTTGTCAGCAGGAATTCAAAGGCAACAATGAACAATTTTCATTCTTTTTCTTTCTTTGGTTAGATCAATGTCCTTTACTCAAGTCATCCCTTTTAATGGGTTGTTGGGCTCACAAATCGAATTGAGCTGCGTAGCATGGAACACGCGGTTCCAACACGATGAAATCTGAATGGAATTCTGAGTGGAATTCTGAGTGATGCAACCTTTATGGAATCCAAATGGAATTTGGGGAAACAATGAATGCAAATGGTATCTGATTCTGTGCAAGGCTAACAGTTCAGACGGAATGTCAAACTGTCACTCCATATGAATGAGATGTATAACTGTCCAGCACCAACAGCAATTTAAACACTTGTTTGTGTCTTCAGTAGCCTCTGGGTGGCTTTTAACAGTGATGAAGTCCTAACAAAATTTGAAGTGAGTGATTGTGGGGGTGTCTCTTTGCTGGCCAGTGTGATCTGGTGCACTTAATGGAGATGAAAGTGGGTGTCTGGAGTGTCAGCATGCAGGGACAGCGTAATCTATGTGTGCTGTCGAGGAGTTGGAGATGTTTCACAATCCAACTGCTGCATCATTCAATGCATCTCCCACACATGCAGCTCTATATGACACCTAGTCGCACGTAGTCAGATGGCATAAAGTCATGTCTACATTACAGCCTGTTCTGGTCAAGAGCTGTGCCCTTGGCTCACTTGTGAATTAAGCTAGTTCAATATAATCAGAATTGGAGCGTTTCTCTACAAATAAAGATGACATTCACTGCAAACCCTGTGATATTTTATTAAAGTACATAACAACAAGCAATGTTCATCCATTGGTCTCCCTGCATCATCCTATCAGAGAATCCCATCAGTGCCTGCTGGAAGAGTATGCATATACACCACCTAAGAACTGCACTGGATTCACACTGTTTGGTACTTTTTTAACTTCAACTACAACAATTTCAATATACAAACATTGTTATTAAATTAAGTAAATAATTATTCAAATCGTGGGTGACATCAGAAACCAACATCAGTCAGATTCTGACGTCAACCCGACTTTCATTTCAAACCAATAGCGCGCAACGGGTAACCAATTGGGCGTAACGGGAAACAAACCAATAAAAGCGTCATCCAACACACCCTTTAAGAGCTTGATAAACGAGGTGCGCTTGTTCCACGGCGCAATACTATTATAACGACGCATTTACCAGGCGCGCTTCACAATTGGTTCAGAGCCGAGGAGATCGATGTTCTCGTCAGGGCTGTAAAAGAAAGAGAAGTGACCATGGGGAATGGGGAATGGGGAATGGGACAATCACCCCCACCCCCACCAAATTAGCTTCGGTTAAACATGCATATAATAAGTTGGGTAAATCTGTAAGCTTTATGCCTATTCTTTCCATCGTCATGGACACAACAATGATTTCCCTCGTGTTTTAATATTTTTCCTTACAATAATGTATCATTTGCAAAAAGTAAAATGCATCTGTGTAGAGAGAATCATCTACAGTGTATGTGCGTTGTTCACACTCTGTATTATAGCCAAGCATGAGCGCTTAAAATAGCATCTGAATGTAATGCGCCACTGACTTTAGACTAGGTTTTTCTGGTCAGTGGCGCATTTGTTTTCTGGAACTGCAAAATAGCATCAGGGATTGTTTGCGCCGGAACATGCCTCCTTTTTTGTGCTAAACCACCCAGGGAGCGCAAGTTCATTCACTAGTTTGCCGGCGTGCGTCTGTGGAAGGAAAAGTCCACTTTGCACGGGTGCAAAATACGAATGATACATACGTTGGTGTACAAAGTCAATTGCGCTGGGTGCAAGATAGGGCCCTAAATGTCTTTTACTGCCCCTTTTGAAGAAATAAAAATCTTACTGACCCCAAACTTTTAAACAGTAGAGTCATTATTATACATTATTTAAAAATTACTAATGGAAACAAGTTAATGTATTTACATTACATATTGTCTTAATTTATATAGTTAAATACATGTTTTCCTGATGTACTTTGCTGTATTAAAGTAAGAGATAGCTGGTTCAAAATGACATTGATGAATGGGACTTAAAATTCTGATGGCTGACTTAAAATGACATTGATGAATGTCATTCCTAAAAACTTACATTCCTATTTTTTACGTTATGCTCTACAAACGTTTGATCAGAAAAGACAAAAAAGAAGAAAATGTGTATAAATTCTGTGATCATAATTTCTTTCTGAGCAAATGTAATATGTACTATATTAGAGCTTGCCAAATCAAGAAAGTACTTTTGTGCAGAGGAGTAGAGAGTACCTGAAAACAATACTAAAGTAAAAGTACAGATACTTTATAGTGAAAACGACTCCATTACAAGTTACTTTACATAACCAATT